TTGCAAATGTAACGCACAAGCTCAAGGAAATATTGGTGTTATCTTAACTGGAAGGTGGGGAAAATTCAAATTAACAAAAACTCCTACTTTCGCGCAATAAGGAGGATTTGCGCACCAAGTTGTATGATACTAGCTTTAATAGTTCTTAGTTCTTAACGACGATACATTGTCGGCAGCATAACCTTGATAATACGGACAATAAGTGTTCAGCTGTCAGCACACATATTACATGTGTTTCCATATTTTCGGATAAAAATTTTTTTTTTAAACACAAAATGTGATATCCAAGTAAACGTATTTTCCGAATTATCGTGATTGCACTGTACATACATTATGAGTTCTGCCTTTTCTTTGTTACATAAAATAAACGATTTCACACTACCATTTCGGTCTGCAGAGTATTATCTTGTCAGCTTGGCGCCCCGCGTTAAACTTTCCGCATAAACAGCGACAGCAGAAAGCAAACGTAGAAAAAACAACAAGTGGAGCAGTCGCAGTACCTTCCTCCATTCATATTCATAGAGTTGGCCCCGCATGTCAGGCCACTCTTTGAACTCACACACACACGCAAGCACGCACAACAAATACACACAAACGCATATATAAGCAGCCTGCGCAGGTGGCGCACTAAACATACGAACGACAGGAAGCTTTTAGAAGAGATGTCGCGATGCCGTTATGTGGAGCCGCTCTGGACGACAAAGAAGACAGCATCCCTGCTGCTTCTGCTGCTGCTTCTCTTGCTGAGCGAGACGGCGACGTCAGCGGATAGCGATGAGAACAGGTTTGTAACGGCGCTAGGTTTGTGAACAGACTAAAAATTTTAAGTAAAGTGAAGCGCTACGATCTCTTTAGGATTTAGGAGAAAAGCTGAAATGTGGGAGAGCTTTGGCAAAACAATTTAGGCTGATTAACTTGGAAACTCATTAATACGCTTTGAGATTCGAGAAACATTTTAATAACCACTTTAGCTCATGAAGTGTTGCGAAAATATAATTTACACTTTTCAAAAAACTTGGTAAATAAAACGGACTATACTATATGTATATAGTACACTCACGGATAGTGTTTATGCTGATGAGCAAATTTAAATGTTGTTAAATGAGCAAAATATTGCATTACGTTTTTAGATTGCAAACTTGAAATTAAACGGATTAGCTGGTTTGATGATAAGAAATTAATATTTAATATTAGTTGATATCTTTTAAGCGCACGTTTAAGCAAAAAATTGTTTTAAATTTTTATTTGTTTTTTTTTTATTGTTTGTTTTTATAAATACGAATGTGTCGTTGATTAGTCTTGTTCTTCAGATATATCATATTGCGCCAATAGAAATTTTTTTTTATTATTATTATTAACAGTTCGGCTGCAATGTAAAATGTAGAGGCGAACAAATATTTAGCTATAGCTACGAGGCCTTAAGCTAATGATAGAAAAATAAAGTTTGTTGTCTTTATACAAATAACAAATTCGAAAGAACTCTGTCCATATAATTAGAATATTCATCGATTAAACTGGTTAACTTAACTAATAATCTTAACAATTCTTGTGTTTGTCGAACTGTCAAGTTTGCAAAGAGAAAAAGATCTAATTGCCTTCTTCTTCACAAATATCCTACATTGTAGGATGAACAACAAGAAATTAATATCCCAAATCCCTTAGGGAACAAGAATCTGGTTCGATTAAACTTGATTAAGCTTTGGCCTTTTCTTTTTTTTTTAGATGGAAATTTTGTTGAACCTATACTTGTAGGCCAGCAATCGTGAATAACCTTGTTGGAGATAAAAATATTGCCTTAAAAGTTAAGAGTTGGTGATGAAAATTTTTTTTAATCTGTTAAGCCAACCAGATGTGAATCCCAATCATACAATTCAATCGAAAATCAGATTTATAAACTGCTGAAAACGATCGATTTGGGTCAAGATGGGGATGCGATCTTATTTAAAGCAACAGCTCGTGTTCAATCAATCAATCAAATTTTTATTTTGCACTTTGATTTTGTAGGACTTCTTTCTAAAAAAAATGTCTTCTAGTTATTTAATGAATCAATCAATTAAATTTGTATTTTGTAGGACTTCTATCTAAAAAAGAACTTCTTCCAGTAATTATTTTTAATCAATCAAGCAAATTCGTATTTGGGACTTGGATTTTGTAGGACTTGTATCTAAAAACAAAGTTCTTCTATTTATTTAATCAATCAAATTCGTATATGGGACTTGGGTTTTTGTAGTACTTCTATCTAAAAAAGAATTTCTAGTAATTATTCTTAATTGATTGCCTGTGTAGAATCACCAGATGGACATGCACTCCTACAGATTTATGCCTGGTAGACTCCAGCCCCAGTGCGTCGAGAATGCAGGACCAGCAACGCTTTGAGAGTCAGCGGGACTGTCGCCTATCCTGTGGCAAATACGGATCGATTTGGCCCATGCCCACAGGTGATTGCAGTCTCTCGCATGACCGCGTCCACTTCGATCCCTGGAAGGTGCGCTTCAATGTGGTGGCGCCTAGTGAGGCAACCACACAATTTCTGCGCGAGACCAATCGCCACTTTGTGAGCAATCTGCTCAAAGAGTGCACCCGAAACTGCACACTGGAGCCCAGCAAGGAGGTGCTGGTCAAGGCGACTGTGACCACAAATACTCTACAGCTAGACTGGCACACCGATGAGAGCTATATGCTTGTGGTGCGGACCACAGCCACCGCCACCTTCGTGGACATCAAGGCGGCAACGGTGTATGGGGCCCGTCATGCCTTCGAGACGCTGAGTAATCTGGTGGCGGGCAGCGAGTCGCATGGGCTGCTCCTGGTGAGTGGTGCGAGGGTGCACGATCGTCCCCAATATCCGCATCGGGGCATACTGTTGGATACTTCGAGAAATTATATGCCACTGCGATATATACGCAGCACCCTAGACGGCATGGCCGCCTCCAAGATGAACGTTCTCCACTGGCATGTGGTGGACACGCACAGCTTCCCTCTCGAGATCACACGGGTGCCGGAGATGCAACGCTTCGGTGCCTACGGGCCAACGCAGATCTACTCGCGGGCAGACACTGTAAATCTTATCAAATATGCACGACTGCGGGGCATTCGGATCCTCATAGAAATCGATGGACCCTCACATGCTGGCAATGGCTGGCAATGGGGGCCGGCGGCGGGACTCGGAAACATGTCCGTCTGCCTCAATAATAAGCCCTGGCGTAATTTCTGTGTGCAACCCCCGTGCGGTCAACTGAATCCGGTTAACGATCACATGTATGCCATTTATAAGGAGATCATGGAGGATTTGGCAGAGGTGGGGGCACCCGAAGAAACGTTGCACGTGGGCGGAGATGAGGTCTACTTGCCTTGCTGGAATAATACGGAGGAAATAACGCGTCGCATGCGTGAAACAGGCTATGATTTGAGTAAAAAAAGTTTCCTGAAGCTCTGGTCACAGTTCCATCAGCGAAATCTAGAGGCCTGGGATGACATCAATCAGCGTCTATATCCCAATATTGTGGAGCCAAAGCCAATGATCGTCTGGTCTAGTTTATTAACAGACCCCGACTACATTGAAGAATATCTGCCCAAGGAGCGCTTTATAATACAGACCTGGGTCGGTAAAGACGACAAACTTAATCGAGATCTCGCCAAGCTCAATTATCGCCTGATAATATCGACCAAGGATGCCTGGTATTTGGATCATGGTTTTTGGGGTAGCACTAAGTACTATAATTGGTTGAAGGCCTACAACAACCCCATGCCGCAGGGCACCCGTCCTGGTCAGGTGCTCGGAGGGGAGGCGTGCATGTGGAGCGAATACGTGGACCAGAATTCTGTGGGTGAGTCGATCCTTACTGAGCACATGTAGATACTTCCATCTAATCCATCCACTGATCCCATTTATGCTTCAGAGGCGCGTATTTGGCCACGTGCCGGTGCCGCCGCCGAACGCCTTTGGTCCAATCCCAAAACCTCGGCTCTACTTGCCCAGCAGCGTTTCTTCCGCTACCGCGATCGACTTATCGCACGTGGCATTCATCCGGACGCGGTGATTCCACGTTGGTGTGTCCTTAATGAGGGTCAGTGCCTGTAGCATGGCGCAATAGAGAATGGTATGGGCTCTACGGCCGCGACTTTCGGAGATCTACTAGCTGGAAGATCATAAATTATGTAAACGGTCACACTGAAGAGCAATTGAAAAATTCTGGCAACGCCAACTCCTGCTACAGGCAGGCGGACTGAAGAAACTCCGCAAGCCCACACCATGTATTGTTTTGCTATGTATTCAGGATTCCTTCAATCCATACTTGTATAATGTTTTTAAGTAAACTGTTTTATTATTTAAAAGTGTTCTTATAAAATGGATTCGCTGGAACGGAGGTGGCAATACGGTGAAGTGAGTATACATATTAATATGCATGTTCCGGACTGTACAGAGCCCACAGATCACGCTTGAACGACTCCGAATTTCAGGAATCAATAAATGGGCATGTCTAGAGCGAAACCGCTATAGACCAAGTGTTCAGGAATATATAGCATACTTAATGGGATCAGCGACGAACTCTTTTACGAAATAAAACCAGGAAACCGTTGATTAGCCGATAATTTCGATAAAACAGCTAATTTAGGAACGTTAATTCTCTAAATAGACATTTCTAGTATTGCCTTGACATTAGAAGAGTCGACATGCCAAGTTTAGTGCATGTGGGCTCAACCGTCTCCGAAATCCAGGCGATCACTGAGCCTAACGGACAACACTATATTGCTCCATCTTGCCATGCCGATTAAGAATATATACTTGTATACCTTATGAAGTCGGAGATGCTTCCTTCTCCCTGTTACGTACTTTGCGCAAACCTTATATACCATTTTTACCAGGTACAGGGTATAAATACAATATTGAAACGTGAAATCGCAAACATATAGGGAAATGAAATATCAACTCTAGTTTGAGTCGCATTTTCGAACAAAAAATCACCAAAACTTTGTTGAACAGTGAGTTTGTTTCGTCGGAATATGTATTATATTACAAAACCATTTACCCGCGAACTAGCTACAGGCTACTGAAATTAATAAGAAATTATTGAAAGAAGAAGGCAAGTTCAAACCTTTCATAAAGCAATTTTTTTACTCTAATTATTTGTTTTTTCGTGTGTGATGGGGAAAACATCAGAACGCAATATTCCGGTTAACTCATTGCAAGATATAACTAATTGTTCGTGGGATGTTATTGATGTTCATGGAGTGCTTTATCATTAGTTGTGATAAGATACTATCACTTGTCAATGTTTTTATAACCCAATAAGATATAACCAAATAGTCGTCGTTTCTTTTTTGGGTAAAACAGATAATTAGTTCTTAATTTTGGTAGGGAGGTCTAGAATTAATTCTGATTAAATAATATCAATTGCTAAGGTGAATCTGGAACCCATAAAGATACAAGCTATTGCGCGTAGTTGCAGCTACTTTTTGGCCTTGATATTCGTGGAGAGCTGTTTCATTAGCTCTGAATAGAAAATGTTCCAAATATTTGCCTTCTGCGTTGCTTTCTCGATTTATCGCTAAACAAATAACAATGTACATAAGCTTATGTGTATTTAATGTGATAAATATAAACAAGTTTTAAAAACTTTGTAACTAAAACATTAGTTACTCGAGAATTATAATTCGATTCTGTGAATGTTTTTGCGTCCAACATTTGCATTTTTAGTGTTTAAGCATAATTCTAGCGAATAGTTCTCAATTGGTTATCGATGTACATATATAAACGAAAAATGATGATCGTTTTCCTTATCAATTGTATATATTTTTTGTGTAGTTAAGTATGTTTAATCAGCAGCGTATATTATGCCAAAAGTATCCAATAAGAATCAATTTATAGATAATAGATTGATTGATTGGAGTGGAGTTAATTGATAAGTGTGTTTGAAACAAGCTTATGTTTAACTAAATGCTGACATCAGATAACAACATAATAATACAAAAAGTAACTTATTCGCTAGAAACAATTAACAAGAGGATTATTTAAATATATTCGTATATACTATGTATGTCTGCTCGAATGCCAAATGAGAACCCAACATTTGCGGCATTACAATTTTCAATTACATGTTTAATAAATACAATCGATTCACATACGAGTACATACATACATAAAAAAACGCGCTCCATTATACGAAAAAGTGGTGGAGAGACGCCTAAGAGGTGTTTAGAAATTGTGCCGATACCTGCACATTGCCGCCACCATTACCGATTAATGGCGGATTATCCATAATGTCGGGACCAATGAAGTGCATCATAACTTCGCTGCAGCGTGTGTTGAAGTCGCCTCTCGTGTATTCCTTGCTGCGCAGCAGAATCCGTCCAAAAACGCTGGCTGGAAATGAGAAATTGTGTTTAGAATCTCAGGCTTGCACCATCCAATTAATATAGAATACATACCGACTTGATGCAATTCGTAGTACTGGCACTCGATTCCCACTCTCAAGAACATGCACAAATGCATAAACACATTCCGCTTTGGCGCACTCAGTATGTCAATGTATTCCATGGCCTCGGCCTTGCTCTTGCTCTCCAGCAAATGTCCCACAAGTGGCTCCAGCAGAGGCTGCTCCGGCAACTTCAACAACAGCAGCAGAGCCACCGCAGCGCTCTGTGCGTCTCCAGCTACAGAGAGGGAATGAGAAATTAAACTAAACACTTCTCTTGTTTACCCCGTTAAAAGGATTTGTATGTATGTGACAAAGGTCCGTCTGTATGAACATCAAGAACTTTTAAATCATTATGGCTAGGGACACCAAACTTGGCATGCAGAATTGCCTGATTCATATGCGGACTAACTTTATCACAAACCATATAAAGCTGTCATGGGAACGATCGGCAGAAAAATTACTCCCAGCAACGAGAACATTTTTCGTCTCATAAATATTTTATAATGTCTATAGTAAGACATTCTTTTATTCGGACACCCCTTTTGCTAGAACATTTGTTCTTCGTTCTAAGTATTTAAGTTTCCCCTAAGCGGACCCTCCCCTTGGACAATAGAGTTTTTCCGGAATTACGGAATTCAATCACTTACGAAATGGATCTTCAGACCATGTGTCCAGCCAATCGCGCACCAAATTGAAGTTCCCGACGAGAGGCAATTGAGGCTTGTCGGTTTGGAATGTTCCTACCAGCTTGGGTCCCTGCTTGTGTAGATAATCGATGAGCAGGAAAAACTCACGTGGCATCGTTACACGATAGTCGGGTGTCACGTCATTCATCTGCACAGATTTGTAATTATTGCAATGCATGAGATAAACGAAAACTGGATCCAGTTTAGAGCACATACCAACTGCTTAATATCCTCCTGGGAATACTGGCACATGGGTCGGTCTGTGCGACACAGCGTCTCCATTGAGAGACCGAAACAGCTGGGCTGATAGCTGCCCGTGACCGAAATGAACTTATCTGCACCGTTCTCCACGTGCAGAATGAGAGTGTCGAAATCGAACTTTAGGTTTGTGGTGCGAATCTTTTTCAGCAGCCCTCTTATCGACCTTACATCTGGCAATAACTTAACCCGTATTGTTCGTTCCGTATCAATCGGAAGTGTGTCATTGTGCGGGTCCACTTTCAGCCATTTCTCGCAAATAGCGTTTAGGGGCGGGTCCTTAATTCTAAATTGAAAGTTCACGGGCAGCGGGCAATTGTTCGAGACGGTGAAGTCGCGAATGGCCAGCTCATTAAAGGTAACCACTCCGAAATCAATGACGGTTGTATCCACAGTGATCTGCGGCTGATTGTCGTTCTCGCGCTTATCTACCGCCTTGAGAACCTCCTCCTGAACACGTTTGTACTTCTTCTCATCGCGTGTCTTTATCTGTAAGATTGAAATAATTGAATGTGGTAAGTTAAATAATTTGAACAATAATTGGCAACTAAGTTTCTATATAGTGTAAGTTGAAGTTATTGAAAAATGAGTTCATAATTCCTATGTCTGTTAAAAGATATAGTATATGTTTTAACATTATATCAAGACACACATCAACCACATCTCAAGTTTGATCGATTTAGCATTTCAAAAATCTGCCAGCTAACGAATATAGTGAACCGATCTGGTTGACAATTAATTTTATTTTATAGCATTATTAATAAATAACACGTATTCAATTTTGTCGAGATAGCTTTAAAAAACAAAAAAGTTAGTGCAAAATTTGCCGATCATTCTTTTGACAGTTATGGTATATAGTGGGCTGACCGTTTTGCCAAGCTGATCGATCATGTTCATAATCTGGGCGTTGCAAATAGCAGACCAGACGCAATATGCTTGTTATTCACGAATATAATTGAAAACGTTATTTTTTTTAAATTGTTTTTCTTTTATATATCTGATTGCCCTTTAATTCTGATTTATCAGAATTTGCGTCAAACCTTACCTTAACATTAAATATTGCATAGACTGGCTTGTGATCGCTTTCGCGCATCTCCATGACACTATTATAGGCTAGCTGCTCAATGCGATCGCCCTTCCAGAGTATGCGATCACAATAAGCTGGCGCGCGCATTTTCTCTGTATCGTAATTGTCCGTGCCCGGATTATACTTATAGGTTGGGCAAAATTTTATATCACCCTCCATATAATCTACAAAACAATTGCGTTGGACTCGCTCCTGTAGCAGCTGATCGTGTATAAGCATTGCCTCAAATGGATTATTTTTGTCGCGCAGCCAACTGGCTGGAATATCCGGCGGTATTTGAAGTCGATAGTTGAGATCACCGATCCAGAATATATGACTAAATATAGACTCTTATCAGTATCATTAAATGTAACGTAATTCAATAATAATGCTTACTCGTGATCTCTAATGTGCCGCTGATCGTCATCAAACATTAAATCCTTTTCAATAATATTGTAGTCCTGATTACGTTCTGCTACGTTAGCCATATGCGCGGCCAAATGTGAGTTCACGAAACATATATTACCCTCGTTTAGTTGCAGACTTATCGCGACGGCACCCTTATTACCCATCATTTTCAAAATGCCTCGAGTGATTGAGTTTATGCGGCAACGTGAGATGTGTGCCTTCAATCCCTTCCGCACAATTATCGTCAACAGAAGGCCGACAAGCCGGACTGACCTCAGCTCCTCATACTGACTGTCTGGGTGGACGCTATCCAACATTTTTCTTCTGTAAATTAAGAAGGGTAAGAACGTTAACGCACGTTGTGCAACTTAAATAAAATTTTTTCTATAAATCGCTCCTATGCCAGATACTTCACAAAATATTTAAACATTATAAACAGCTTATCAATACCAACTTTTAAGAAAATATTTAAAAAAATATATGATATAGTTCTTCAATGTTGTTGAAACTTCAGAATACTTATAGTAAAGCATTATAAAAACTTCTAAATACAAAGCTTGGTTGCGATATCATAAAAATAAAAACTATAAGATGTAGTACTCCAATTTTGAATATCGAAACATTGTTAAAACTAACGAATATCTAGTCTCATTAATTCTTCCATTCTTCCACCGATTGTTCCGATGGCAGCTATATAAAATAATTGCGATATACATGGTTTGTAATAAATTAAATATACATATAGTTGAGAGAAGTCTGCATACCAAGTTTGATGTCGCCAGCTTTAATGATTCAAAAGATTTTGGTGTTCATACAGACGGACAAACGGTCGAACGGAGAAACGAACACGACTACATCTTATACTATTCAAGTGACAGTAGTAATAATCTGGCTGCGATGTAGAAGGTTTGAAGAAATTAAGTCTAAATCGTAATTATTATTGCTAATACAATTTCTTAATAATAATAGTTACATAAAGAGTTTAATTAAATGCTATCGCGCTAGTTTTTTGATTAGTTTAAAACAATAATACATATTAATGTATGTATCAATTATATACTCACATCCAGGCTGGATCGAGTCGGGTGTCCTTTAGTATAACTGCCTCAGTGGAGTTATTGAGCTCTTGCAAGGCAATGGCATAAATATCAGGTGGCTCCGTAGAGCAAGAGAGCCACAAATTCATGTTACTATTCATGAAGGACTTGTCGTTCACATTCCAAGTGGCGCAATAGATTCTGTGGACGCAAAAAAAGCACAATGATCGATGATATATATAGCACATGTCTAATCGACGGTTGATTCTTACTTATAATTATTGTATACTGTGTATTCGCTTTCGCGGTTCTTAAGTTCCTGCTTCACTTCGCCGACTTGTCTGTAGTCATTAAGCCAAACATAGCTGAGCTCGAAATCTGGCGACAAATGTCTGTCCGACATGGACATCTTAAAGGATACGATTTGAGCGTAGAAGTCGTCGAAGAATAGCGATTCCTTCTCTGATTTCATAATGTAATAATAAAATGTGGCGGGCTTTCCATCTCCTGTGAGCAATTCGAATTTCAACTGCGATTTAAATCCTTTGTTTCCATCTGCAATATACACTGTGTTAGAATCGTGTTGGCCTAGGTCTGCGGAAATACTTACCGACCAAAATTTGGAAACTTTCGTTTAAGGGAAACACATTCGTGCATGTCAGATCGGTTGGAAAACGAATCGGCGTACGCACAATAGAGAGCGATATGATCGCATAGGTGCCTCCCGATAATGAAGATACCACAGCAAGAATGCGGTTGGCATGCTCCTGATTTTTTAACTGATACGCTTCAAATATCTGTAAAGATATATAGACGTCAACACATCATGAATTTATCCACTATTTAAGCGGTTCGTAATTATGAGTGCACACAGAGATAATAACGGGGTAAACGTAGATATAACTTGTTTACCCCATGGCCATATAATTATCGTTTGTGTCAGCTATCATTCTTGGAGAGGCCATTAGTCACATATGGAGTATCAAATATCGGAATAATACGCCCTTACTCACCGAATGCACTTTCTCGTTATCCTTGAATTTCTTTTGAACTATTTGTAATAAAGAAGGCGGCGGCGGTGCATTGGTGGCTGATATGTCATCGCCGCTCCCAGTACTGGTGCTCCCATTGGGGCGACACGTCGGTTCGTGTTCGTCTTCCATCGCCGCCCAAGCTTACACGACAGACAACGTGGAATGCAGAAAAATACTGGGGTTGTTGTTTTGCTGTACTCAGACTGTTTATTTGTGTGTGTGAATGTGTGTGTGTGGCGATTGGGTTTTCTATTTTTAGTCGGCGTACTAAAACATTAGGCGGTGCACTAAAACCGCTGTAGCGTCTTGAACTTGGGTGCGACACAATAACACTGATTCAGTGTCTCTTTAGAAACACTTGCTGCTTGAGGTATTTATATTTTATTATTGGTTTACATTTGCAATTTAGGTGGGTGCTTTGGGAATGAATGTAGACAAACACACACACGCACGCAATCACTTATTCATAGTCACACACAACGGGCAAGAGGCGGGTCGGGTCGGATGACGACGATACACACAAATATGTTAGCCTAGGCATTGGGAATGCAATGCATCGGATTTGTTATTTTTTTTATTAGTATTGAGCGCTCTGATTGAGCACTCAAACCACTATGTTTATTTATTTGATGCTTTTAGCGGGTTATAAGTACACTTTATCTGTTTTATATTCGCAACAAGCCCAGTTATGTGGTCCCAGGTCCAATTATAATAACAGCTGGAGCGCCACTGGCGGCGTTGCCAGATGTTTGCGGCGACATTGCCATTTGCTGGAACTATGTGTGCACTAATACCATCTGCCATTTTACCATAATAATTTACCTCATTATTGAGTATGGTTTGTTAAAGCTACGATATACGCATTTTTTACTGTATTTTATGTGCTTTTATTCATATACATTGTTAATAACCGATAGTTAGTATCATACATATGACCATTAATCCGCCATTCTGTGAACTTACCAACACTGACCACTCTCAGCTGTTGATTTCAACTTCGTGCTCTTTTGGGGACGCATCAGTTCTGTCATCTGGCGCCCAAGATCATTATTATTCCTATTCCGCATAATGGCCCAATTCGAAAAGGAAATCGTGCAAGCAGTTCTGATTGCCGACAACAATGTGTGGAACTTCAAGCCGCTGTCCGATGATAACTCTACGGTTTGTAAATGCATATAATTGTGACCGCCACGCCGCGCATATTTCACGTTTAACATCATTTGTAGGCCCTGCTGCCGCTGGTGAATGTAAGCATGCTGGACTATGCGCTGATTGCTCTAAACCGCAGCGGTGTGGAAGAGGTGTTCGTCTATGCCAGTCTTTTCTTGCAAAATATACGGGACTACATCAAGTAAGTATATTCATATGTACATACATATATCTGATTATTAACTGATGCAATAATGCCGCCTGGAACTCTTCATGGCAGACAAGGAATTGAAACATACGCCTCCTGGTCCTTCAAAATGAAAGTGCAGGTGATTGGCGGCGAGGGCTGTCGTTGCTTTGGCGATGCTATGCGTGATTTGGATGCCAAGGCGCTCATACGTGGCAACTTTATACTGTTGGGCGCAGATACAGTAACCAATGCCGATCTGCGTCCAGTTTTGGAGCAACACAAGCGTACTGCCAAATTTGACAAGGGTGCGGCTGCCACGCTTGTCTTCAAACAGTGCAGTAATAATTTGCGGACCGGCAACGAGCTCCTAATCGCATTGGACAATCGAAACGATCGCTTGCATTATCATCAGCGTTTGCGCATGAACCAGAGAGAGACGCGTTTCCCCATTCCGCTGGACATTTTCTTGAACAACTCTAGCGTGGCGCTGCACCACAACCTGCTGGATCCACAAATTGCCATCGGTTCGCCCTCCATGCTGTCGCTCTTCAGCGATAACTTTGACTTTCAAACCCGCGATGACTTCATTCGCGGTCTTCTAATTAACGAGGAGCTGCTGGACAGCCGCATCTATGTCGCCCTATTACCGCCCACGCAGTACGCGCACAAGGTAAACAACTGGCTATCCTATCAGCTGGTTAGTCGGGACATCATCAATCGCTGGGCCTATCCGCTGGTGCCGGACATGGGCGTCTACAAGTTGCAGCAGGAATATGTTTTCCACAAGGACAACATCTACAAAAGCCATGATGCGCATGTTCCGAAGGTGGCGCTCCGTGAAAATGTTGTGGTGCAGACGGGCAGCCATGTGGGCACCGGCACCGTAATCAGCAACAGTGTATTGGGCGCTAACTGCCGCATCGGCAAGAACTGTGAACTCAGTAATGTGTTCCTCATGGCTGATGTGACGATACTCGACGGCTGCCAATTGGAATTCTGTGTTGTGGGCACCGGGGCGACTATTAACGAGAACTGTATAATCAAGTCTGGAGCTGTAATCGGCAACAAGTGTGTGCTGCCCGCTAAAACGCAGCTGGCGAAAAAACTAGTCTCTGCCGTGAAGCCCAGTCAGGAGTACGTATTGGGTGAGTGAGCTTGTATCAATAATCAATATGCTTTTATGAACGGCTGATTTGTAGAGACAATCGGTCCCCATGCCTATATCATTAGTGATTCTGCAACCGATGATCCTGGAGACTCGGACAATGAAGACCTACTGCCACAACAGACGCAATGCATACCAAAAATGGGGGATTTGCCATCACATTTGCAGCCTGAAGACAGCGACTACAGCTCTAGTAGCGAGGAGGACGGCTCCCGAGCACCAACACCACTACCTGATGACACAAACAGTAATAGCTGATGTCATTGCTGCCTTCTTTATTTGCTAATTGAATCATTTATGTGTGATAGTATTCCTGTCGGAGGTCGTCGATTCGCTGACGCGCGGCTTTCGCGAGAAATCCAACCCCGACTTTCTCATACTCGAGATAAATTCGTCGCGCTATGCCTACAACATGTCCCTCAAGGAGGTCAACTTTAATGTGGTCAAAGCAGTCTTCGGCATGCAAAGCATACGCGAGCCTGCTAATAACAATGTCCTCGGGGCCATCAATGCGGCGTTCAAACAACTCGGAACCGTTGTATCTAACTACATTAAAAGCCCAGACGCTATGCTAGATTGCCTGAAAGCTTTAGAGGTCTGTTCTTCATTATATACTTCATTAAAATGACGATTGTATTAACTCATATGTGTACGTTTGCAGGATGTGTGCGAAGAGAACGATTTGGTGCGCGAGAAAATCTCTCAGGTGGTGCATTATCTGTACGACAAAGACTTTGTAACGGAGAGCGCCATACTCGCCTGGTACAATCAGCTCGATGACGAGGAGCATGCAACGCTAAAGCAAAGTCTGACGAAGCTAGTCGACTGGCTGAATCAATCTAGTGAGGACGACGACGAAGAGGACGATGAAAGCGAGTAACAACCTAAACTACATTTTTTAAGCTGAAAATAGTTAAATTAAAATCAATGGAAAAAAAACGGCTATACAACTGTTGTTCTTTTCTGAAAGCGACTTGTATAGCTTTATATAAAAGCTACGTTCTAAAATGGTAAGTTAATAAGTTTTCTGTGAAATTTAAAATGATTGATTCATATTTTGTTCGCTAAAAAAACAAAGAGTATTTATATTATTCCCCGAAAAGTCGGGGATTTAGTTGATTTAGTTTCACTTTCGTTTTTGAAACATCCTTGAAACTTTTAATATGAATATTTAAAATATAAATCAACATATAGCAGTACTTTTAGAATTACTTTAGAGGTGGTTACGATCAAGTACTTCTAAAATAATCTTATCTAAACTGTATTATTGTTGAATCATGTTGAACATCAATCGGGCAGTGCTATAAATATGAGACCGGTAGTATTTTTAAAAGCCCTTTAGTACTTTAGAGGTGGTTACCCAAAACGGATTAGTCTGGACGAGTGTGCTGGCCAGGCATATGGACACCAGGTTGTTGAAAATAATCTTGGTTGATAATTATGTTAAGAACGACAACAATAGGTTTATTTACCGTTAAATATATTTGAAAGAATATTCAAATTTGTTGGAATAGAGTCTATGTGTGTATCAAGCAAATGATTACGCAGGGTGACGTTTTTATGAAATCTGAATGAAGAAGAGTATAGCGTTTAATTAACAATTAATTTCAACAAATGTAAACCAGTTGTTTGTTTCATTTTCTATGTGTCCGTTTAATGTTTAATTGGGGGTGCAAGATTTTTACAGATTTATTGTAGGTTTTCTCTATTCAAACAAAGGAAGAAAAAAAAAAGAAAACATCCTTGGGGTGAAATTTCCATCAGCTTAAATCGTGGGTCGTCTCAGTTAAAAACTGGGCGAATTTATCTAAAACAATAGTCTTCATTCATTCATACATACATATGTATAGTGTAATATTATAGATTAATAAAAAAAAAATAAAAAAGGCAAAAAAGAGTAGGACACTGCCCGCTCCTCTTATATCTAGCTTGAAGTAGAATCGACTAATGAGGGTTGCTCGGATGGCATCTGTTTCGTTAATGCTCGAACAGATATTTCTCATCTTCCACTTGCATGGGCTCTTGGTCTCCTCTTTTTAGTGTAACTGGATGTGGTGGGACATTTTTGTTGCTTTCTGTCTCGTCTATAGATTGAAACTCTTCTTCCTCGGATTCTCTGACGGACTCGATGGTGATCTGTGTGTCATCAGCAAAGGCTTCTGCATCGGCAACGGTAGGCGACTCCTTTTGTTCATCCTCCTTATCGGCATCGGTGTCTTCGTCGGCTTCAGCGTCGCCATCAATGTATGTGCTATTCCGTTTAGCCTCATCGATGTCGTCCGCTACCTTTTCATCCTCGGATTTAACTTTATCGGCACTATCAACATCCATGCGCTCAACTCCAAGATCCGAATCATCATTTCTTTTGCTTTTCTCGCAGACTCTATCATTATCGTCCGGTTCTATTTCCTTTTTCAGCTCGCTCAGTCCGAGATCTACCTCGTCTTGATCGGCTTTCGTTTTCTGAGGCTCGTCATCATTGTCGTCCTCATCGGTCTTTAGCTTGACTGGGTCCTTGGAAAAGCTGCGCTCCTCTAGATTGCGATTTATATCAAAGGCCATATATTGAAGACGTGTCTGAACACGCTTCTTGAATATTTCGACATTAGCTGGTGACGTCAGGTTCGTGCGCACCTCCTCGATACAGCCCTCGAGCACTTTGTTAACCTCCGCTCCATCGTAGTCGCCCCCCAATTGCTGTGTGACAACAAGCAGGGTGGCCAAATTCTTCAACAACTTCACCATTCGTCCATTCTTCACCAGACCCTTGTTCATCTCATCCACCGCATTGCTGGCCTTGGCGCGACATTCTTCGCGCAGGAGCGTCGGCGATATCATGGCTTGTACATTGGGGTTGCGTGTTAGACGCGTCGACTCTTCCTGCACCCGGTTCAGCTCGTTCATAATATCCCAGTTGATGCGCTCAATCGATATTATATTGGAGGCGTAGCGTCGCTGAAACTCATCACCAATGTGCCAGGGATCTTGACCAGCATCTTGGCCCATCATCTCGCCAAAGTCCAGCTCGGCCTTAGCATTCATTTCGTTTAGACGTTGAATTTGCGATGTCTTCAAGGCAATACAGCGCTCGAGATGAACGAGGTGCTCCAACAATTCCGTTGGATAGCCATGATTGCGTGAGAGCTGCGGCTTTAAGGGACTATTGGCACCAATGGTGTCTTGACCCAGCAACGGATCGTTGCGATTCAGTTTCATGTTCAGTGCATTACGTGCGGCCGCATTGTTAGTCGCCAACTGCTTTTGTGGCGTCATTAGGCTGGCGGCATTGTTGTGGCTGTTGCTGTTACCATTTTCGTGGCTGGCCGGCAATTGAACACGCTTCTGGGATGAGTAGCTGCTGGCCAGATTGGTGGTGAAGCCCAAATTTGTGGTGAAACCCACACTATTCGCCTGATAGATGCTCATTAGATTGGGCCGGAAGTCTTTGGTGAAGCTGTGCAGTGGCAGCATTTCGTGGAAGTTCTCCGACACGATCTCAAAGTCCGGTATGGAGTGAGTGCCCAAGCCCGGCCGCTCAAAGGTCACGCGGTACATGGCATTTAGTGAATCGTAGGCGGCAACGGTACCGGCAAAGATACCATCCTGTGGCGTACGCAGACGAGCCGTCACTTTGGTGCCCAATGGCAATGGCATTGGTATCTTGTCTGGCATATCTGCCAGAAGCATTGAGTCCTTCAGCTCGCCGGGCTTGCGCGAGTGCAGTGTACGTATCAATTGGCGCTTGCGATCGAGTTCGCGACGCTCCTCGTTAAAGAAATTGGTCGAACAGCGACGTGGCCGACCCATGCGGCGTCGTATATTGGCCCATTCGTGACGATTTAAATGGCGCATATCGAGGCGCGGCGCCAGATCGCTCACATAGTTCATAAAGTGGTCCTTGCAATCGAACAACGGCTTATCTATATACGAATAGAACCACTCGGCAATCGCCCATTTGTGCGCCTTCGGCAACTTTAGCAGATTCCGGAGACGCAGTCCAATGGACTGGCCCAATCGCTTATTGGCCGCCACCTGTTCGGCGGCCTTGTGTGTGGCTTCTTCAGCCGCGGCGGCTGCAGCTGCAGCAGCAGCAGCGCCTTTCCCAACAGAAGAACCTTTGTAGGCAGCGGCGGCTTTTGAGTTCCCGTGTGGCAGCTTGCCCGCACGTGCGGGTTGCGCTGCAGGAGCGGCGGCTGCCGTTGTTGGCTTGGCAGTTACCTTCAGAATGGGGTTCTTTCTGGGACGTCCGACACTATTGCCAGTGCTGGTTGGGGCACTGCCAGGACCGCCGGGACTGCCGTCGCTGGAACGCATGTAACGCGAGACGACGCCTTTGCGTTTTTTGAGCACCTTCGAGGGGGTTAGAGCCTTGGCGATGGCTCCGCGCACGGGCAACTTCTTGGGCGACAAACTCATGCGCAACGGCTTGTCATCGTTAATAATGTTCTCGTCGAAAAAGAAGGGATTCCGTTTGCGTATACGGGCGGGCATTCCGCGTGCGTTCAATGTTAGAATCGGTGCCTTGGATACCTTCGGTTTCGGGGGCGGTGCACTGCCCACGCGTTGCAGACCCAAGGTGGCCAAGCTGAAGGCCGGTGGCTCGGCATGCTCCTCAGACTCACTTGTGTCATTGCTATCGCGCTCGTCCTCCTCCTTGTCCTCAGTCTCCTCATCATTGTCCATATCTTGTTCGTCTTTGCTATCCTGATCCATTGCCTCCGCTTCAGCTTCGGCTTCCTCCGAATCTTCCTCGTTTGTGGCCGTGGAATCTTTGCGAGCAGCGGCTACCACGCTCGCCCCCACTGCCTTTTTGGCCTTCGTACCTTTGGGGCCGTCCGCTAGAGGCATTCTCAGGAGCTCTCGCTGCTAGAAAATAACAGAAGAGTGGTATTGTTATTCGTAGTGTATTATATTGTGTTCGACTATCAATTAAAGATGATATCCAGATGAACCCGCATCCTTTAAATTGAAATAAGCTTTATAAAGATTTAACATCACAAAAAATTAAATAGCAGTATGATTAGTATTTTTAATCCGCTTTCTTCCCTGCCATTTATGTGATATAGCGCTTTATGCTTTTTATAGATTAAATTGTGAAATTAATAATTTATAAAAACCACAAATGGTTACAACTTCAAAAGTTATTTCGCAATGAATAATTTATCCACCGATCCTTCCTATGGCAGCTGCATATATAAAATAATACTCAAAGTTTAAGCTATACATGATTTATGGTAGACTTAGTCTGCATTCAGATACGAAATGTCTACATGCATGTTCCATGTACCTGGCTGTTTTGGTTTAAAAGCTTTCGATGTTCACACAGACGAACATGTCTATATCGATGATAGAGATTTTACCTTTAACCAAGCTGCTGCAAAATCTCCTTCATACTTTGTACACCCTTTCAACCTTATTTCAACCTGATATTTACATTTAGCACTTAATGACCATCGATTCCACTATAAAGGTCAAAGATCAATTTAAAAAAGTGATTATTTTTATTATTTTTTTATATTTAAGTAAAGTTTATAGGGTTTGTTAAGTTTCAAATGAAACGTTTCTAATCAAAGATATATTTCTGAATTTAAAATTATTCCAGATGTCAGTTTGTAATTGTAAGACACTATTCTTCTGTTTTATGATTATGCTCAAAGTTTTCAGCTTGATTTTAAATTTTATATAGTTTTTAAGACAATCTTAAAACTCGAAAATAGATTGCAGTTTGCTGGTACTGTAGGAACTCTCTCTATCTCTGTATTGCTGAAGGTTTCCTGGTACTAATCCAATAGTCAGAATGCAATTTGTTTTTAGAATGTAGAACTGGTTTATCTGCACCATATAGTTTTTCAGCAATTTTTTGTTTGCCTTGGCTGCAGGTAGAAAGAAAATGAAGCTCCCGAAAAATGTGTATACATATAAGAAGCACTTAAGGGATGCATAAATTGCAAAATAAGAACGTGGCCAAGCAAAAAGATCAAGATTAATACAGAATGACATTTTCTTTTTAATCGTCTCCGTCCTGGATGTAATCGCATCGCTCGCCAATCCCACGACATGCTAAACCAACAATCACATCATCTGCAATACGAGCCTAATTACCTTCCACATCGTCTTCTCCACCACTCACAAAGTAAAGCGCATTTCTAGAAATCCTTGGTTGCGTATGCCATTAAAAATGTTAGATAGTTTTAGCTCATGTTTGGTTGACTTTATTTGTATCGCTTTTTTTTTTGTATCATTTGATGTTTTTTTTTCTTGTTTTTCGTGTATGTAATACTTTGATTGAAGGATATTTGAATAATATAAATTAAGCACAAATACAATTAATTCACTTGGCGTAGATAGATCGTCTGTATGCCTGTACGTCTAAATACGCTCTGTCATATACATAGTTTTTTTTTTTTTTAATTTCCAGTAACGCCATTAAGAGTTTCGATAAACAAATGTACGGATTGGATTGCATTCACAATAAACAGTAAACAATAAAGTATAGTAGTATTGGTGTTTTTGTGTGGGTGTGCTTATATAGTTGCAGAGAAAGAAACATTTATAAACATTTAGCACAAGTTATGTAACTTGTAGCCGTAACTTTGCTCGATATTTTTACTCTTCTTCTTCTTTTTTTTATCTCTTTTTATATATATATAACAATACATTTAGGCATAACAAATATCAATAATAATAATAATTATAATAATAATAAGTAGTAAATATTTTATAGATATAATAATAATTTTGCATTCATTCTTTTGCTTGAATGTGTGTTGTTGTTTATAATTATTTCTTATTTGTGAGAATTATATTTTCTCGTTATATAATTTTTCTTTCAATTTGTTGTAATTGTATTTGTAATGTTTGTTTGCCTTTTCTTTTAAATGTGTGTAACAATAGAACAGAAAACATTTAACTACTACACATACATATATAGTGCTGTGCTAGTTGCCGGCTTGGGGCACGAGGGCGTGGCATTTCAACTGCTCTCCATTCTACATAAACCTTTGCGTTGAAGTGTTAAAAAAAATCTTGAAACAATTTACATATACATACATATAAATATACATATATATATATATATATATATAGATACATAGATATAAAATACAATTTGGTTGAGGTCGCTGCATGAATGGTGGGCCCCCAATCATGCCCCAGCTCGCGCAAAGCACTTTTTTCTTTCACTACATCATCATCTTCATCAACTCTAACATCATCAACTCTAACATCATCATCTCTAACATCATCTTCTTCGATTTGCGGTATCTCGTTATTTAAAGCCTGCGTTCGATTGCCAAATTGGTTAAAAATAAAAAAAAAATATAGAACGATTGCAAATAATTGTTAAAAACAGACAGCCAGTCGTCGTCTCTCTCTTTGCGCTCTTTCTTTCTTTCTCCGGCTTAAGGTACTCTCGCTGCTCTCGCTTAGACATTGAAGCGAGTTTCGGAGCCGTCGGCCAGCATGAGCGTGACGGTACGATTGTTGATCCAGACAAGCTTGGCTAGTCGCATGGGATTTAGTCGCGACACATCCGGAATGGGTGCCGTGGAGTAGCCCTTGGTGCAGCGGGTCTGTGACTGTCCCAAGCCGAACATGCCGGTGCTGGTCTGCCAGAAGGAAAGACGATTCTCGGCACATGAATAGGAGACCAGATACTTGCCGTCCGGCGAGAAGGCCAGCGAGGTAATCGGATGCGTGTGCGCGGGTATCATCTGGCACTTGTTCTGTCGCAGTTCGTAAATAGCAAGGTGGCCGTTGTTGGCACCCACCGCAATGCGACGTGTCTGTGCACAGTGGGAAATCTGATTGAACTTGCAAATGGCGGGACAGACCTCGGCCAGGCCGCGACTCTTCAGCTCATTGCTGTCCACACAGTGCAGCGTTATGTCCATAACTTCCACAAGCAGACTGGCGATCTCCGACTGCATCTTGTCGATCAGCATTTCTACGCACTGCAGTATCTCCAGCTTAGCCTTGTACAGCACCGACTGGGTCAGAGGTGTATTAATGGACTGTGCGTTCTGCTGCATTGTATTGTAACGGGCCACCTCGCGCGCCATTGTTGTGATAAAAGCAGCCGGCCGGGCTGTGGCTATTAGACGCAAGGCATGGCGGGCTGTGCGGCAGGCATCCGCCTGAGGTGTCAACGGAAGCTTGTAGTTTAGATTCGGCACTGATTTGCCCTCGCAGGATATTTCGAGCAGACCCAGTAACACCTTCGACACATCCAGGTATGGTTCCCAGACGGTAAAGCCACGTCCCAGAAGATCAATAGCGGCACGGCGAAGTGGGGTGTATTGCGGCAACTTGGAACTGGCCGGTGCATAGAGCAGATGGGCGAGAGCCATCGATGTGAGACGAGCCAAATTGTTGGCAATACCAAAACCCTCGACCACCGAAGACTTGCGACGTTCAGATACCCCACCACTACCGCTGCTGCTGCTAATGCTGCCACGATGATTGGGTGATTCCTGGGAGATGTCTTGTCCGAACTCGGCGCCAATTACGCCCAACAGGATAACCGCCGTGGTCTGCTTACGCTTCAGCTCCGACAAACTGGACGGTTTGCGTATGATCTCCTCCTCTTCCTCCTCCTCCTCATAATTTTCGCTTTGATGGTCACCACCCGGGGGCATTGAAACTCCACCTACACCGCTGCCATTGTGTCCATTGACCCCAACGCCCGAGCTGCCAGAAACAGCTCCGCCGGCGGCCGCCTGATGAACGGCGCCTACAATTGGCTCCGTGTGCGTGTAGAGCGGCAAATACTGAGCCCAGCTCTCGACTAGCTGCTTACGTCCTTTCTTACCCATGCGGGTCAGCTCGCCCAAAAGGATTTGCTGCGCTGCCTCGCGTATTTCAATGCAATGATGCTGCCAGCGTTTAACCATCATTTCCACCTGGGGTCGCTTGAACTTCTTAGGCTCGAGGGCCTCGATCTTGTCCGGTAAAAGGAAGCAATGGTGGGTGGAGAGCAGGCTCCAGCCCTGCTTTATTTGTGAGGTGTGATGTGCCAGAAGATCCTCGCGTTCATCCTCATTGCTAAGCGTCGATTCGGTGCGTTGTGCCAAGCGCTGCAACTTCTTGTGTTTCTCGCTGTCTGGCAGAAAGGAGGCGGCACTCATCGAGAGTAAGGTATTGGACATGGCCACCAGGGCCAGTATGTGATTAGAGGTAAGTGTCGTGCTCAATTCCCAATGCAGACGAGACGTGAAAATAGCGGTTAGATGCTCCAGACGTTGCAGCTCCTCGGGCAGGGCGCGTTTCTTGGAACTACTGGGCAGTTGAATTCCAGCCGGTATCGCGTAGTTGTTCTGCCAAGTGGGCAGCAATAGGGACATGTAGCCGGCCTTGGAGAGTACGCCATACGAAATGGGTACTATGGGACGCAGCAGTCCTAACTGCGATTCGCACACCTTGTCCAGATGTGGATCTAGACCCCAGGAATGGAGTAGCGATAGTAATAGTTGTGCCACTTCCATCACGTGTGTAACCTCCATTTTGGATGCGATTTTACTTTTGAGATCCTGCGGCTGTTCGTGCGTCTCCACAGCCTTCTGCAGACTCTCTACCTTTGCCTGCACCTTCTTCTCCACAATTTCCGTCTTTTCTTTAAACTTTTGCACGAGGCCATGCTTGTCCTTATCCTTAAGCATTTTCTCCATGTCGCCCGCCTTATTCTTAACCTTGCCGAAGAAGTCGCTTATTTTCTTCGATGCATCTAAGTGTATGGACTTGCCATCCTTTGGATTTTGTATATGTACGCCTAGAGCTTCGAGCGTAGCGGGCGTCATCTGTGTATATTCCTCGCTGTGGAGCTCGAATATAAGGCCCTCAATGTCAAAGAAGAGTATGTGACTCTCGGCGTCTTTGGGATTGGTGCGCAGGCCCTGAATGACCAGCGGATTGCTGCGATGCTTCATTAGGAAATCAAAGTTGCCCTGATTGTGACCCTGCAGCTGTTGCAGCTGATGGATGCCACGCTGGGTAGCGTGACGAATGGCGTTTATGTTGCGCGACTTGAGGCCGCGGAAAAAGTGTACGGCGGGGTTGGCCATGCCCATTTCGCTGGCGCTATTCGCACCACTACCGGAGCCTCCGCCACCGCCCTCCTCGGCTGCTTGCTCATCGCAGGCAGAGAGCACCTCCTCGGCCAGCATGCCGTGCAGAACCCGATCGAGATGACCCGTCTCCATCTGCCACACATAGACAGATCCATCCGAGCAACCTACTATAAGAAAGTCGTCGAGTGGCCGCCACTTAATGGTCACCACTGGGAACAAATGGCGACTGGCTAGCGTTACGCACTTCCGTTCCTGCAGACTGACCAGCGTAACCGAATGATCTGATGCCACAGAGCAGATGCACTTCAGGATGCGTGGACTACACGTCTCTGGCGGCACCAACAACTGCGTTATCTCTCCAGCGTGCACACAAAAGCGATGCAGTAGACTGCCACTGTATAGATCCCACAAGCAAACGGCAAAATCGATGCCGCCCGAAAGCAGATGAGACTTTTCATAGCGCGCATGGATCATGGAGGGGCACAGCAAGCAATTGACACGACCGCGATGTCCGTACAATATCTGATGTGAGGGCCAGTCGCTAAAGTTCTGCTTTATGCCCACAAGTAACTGCATCATAACTGTCTGAGTGGCCGGCACGATAACAATGCTACCATCCTCACGCCCAATCACAAGCCGACTCTGCTGTGGCAAATAAATGCTGGAGGTCAGCTTCACCGGCGAGTCGGTGATGCGCGACAGCTGATCTAATATGCCGACCGGTGGAGGATCCATGACAGACCAGGCCTCCACCAACGATGTACAGACCTGGGGTTTAAGCACTCGAGGCGGCATCTGCTTGGCCTGCAATATACTGATATTGTCGAGCGGCACCTCCGGTACATGCCACACCGAAATGAAGCCTTCCGAGTCGCCGCGTAGCAGATAATTCTGTGTGGTGCCGCTGGTACCACCTGGGAGGAGTTTCATGGCTGGTGGGCAGGAGAGAACCTTGTCGCCAGCATGCTGCAGCACATAATACAGATAGGGTGCATCGCGGACGACGCTCTTTGAATGGAACTCCTTGTTGTCCGGTATGCAATTCGCGGGCAGCTTATATAGATAGCCCTTGCCTTCGTCAGTCCAGAGCATGACGCGATCTGAGGTTATGAAGTCACCGCCTTGCCAGCGTTCCCTTGCGGGCGCAATTACGGAGCAGAGTACCGTAAAATCGCCAGCATCATAGATTTGCCAATACTTGGTGCAGACGAGAAGTACCGTGCGCTGATTTTGGGCACAGCAGTTCATAGTGATGGCATTTAGACAGCGTATCTCCTTGGACTCGTTCTCGTAGATGGGCTCGGCATGCTTGTTTTCGTTGCCGGTCAACGTCCAAACCTTAACCGTGCCCGTGGTGGTGATAGCCAGCACCACATCATCCTTGCGTCGCATTGGACGCAGCACGTGTATCGCCGAAATCCAGTCCGGTTTAACCTTGGAGCTGAGCACATAGATAACCTCCAGACTGAAGGGATCCATGACCATAATTTCGGCATAGTAACCAATGCAGAACAGACGCACATCCTCGCTGTTCGCTGTGTGATAGCTTTGGATTTGTGTGTGCACCTGTGGCAGCTTAACAGCCTCCGTACACTTGCCATCGATGAGATCCCACGTACACATCTCACCATTTTCCGAGGAGCTAACCAGAAAATTGTTCTCGGGCATTAGCGAGGCCCGAACCAGGCACAGCACCGGTGCCGAATGTCCAACGAGGAGGCATCGCGGTGACATACGCAGCGTTGTGGGCTCCACTTGCCAGAGGCAGATCTGGCCATCGTAGCAGCCAGTGACTAGTGTGCATTGATCGTCCGATAGGAAAACGCTTGAGATGCAGTGCGTCGGCGCTGTGGGTCCCCAAAGCACAACGGGCACCACCAGATTGGTACTTACCATCCTGGTTCCTTAAACTAACAGCCAACAACAATATTAAACACCTATAGTTGCAATGATGTGTAGAGCCAGTTGGCCTCAGACGCGTTCTTCTGCAAGCAGTATGGGGGCAATCATAAGTACAAATATACATAAATGGTTATATATGGATGCGTGGAGCGGCTAACATGTGTGCTGGCTGTCTGACTCTGGCTGGCTAGTCAATGCGGCATATTCAATATAAAAGATGACAATGCGAAAATATCGTGTTATACAATTAAATGGAAAGAACCTTGAGGGCAACACACATTTCTATTTGAGTAGTTTTTGTGTTAGGTTCGGTTCGGCTCTATCTTATTGGAAATTGCATCATTTAATATTTTCCTATTGGGTTCTCTGAACAAACCAAAACAGATGGATTGTTGTTAGGGGGCGTGAGAGGGAGGGAAAACTTTTTAGCATAGAATTTGAGAGCTGATAAAATTGTGACTAACACACACATTGTCATAAATGGAAGCTTTTGATTAGAAAGCTTAGTTTGGAAAAATCGCACTGTATTGGATAAATTGTGGTCGAACCGGGGCCAAAGAGTGCCCGAACGTCAGCAGCTGTGCTGCGCGTGTGTTCGTCCGTCCGTCCGTCCGTTCACACACATTGGTGACAATTAGCAAGCAAGGGGCAGCGGTTCGCAGCTGCCATATGTACAATATGTACAAATATTGAAGGTGACCACAGCCACAGCAATCATCTTCAAATATGTTATAAAATTAATTGGCTAACTTGCGCGTTGTTGGCATTTGTGTTTGCAAGCAATAGACTGACTACTGACTGGCAATTAGTGTGCTACACACACAAGCACACAAATACACACACACATACACACATTGACACGGCACACATGTACGCGCTCCAGCAATAATAATTGCAGATAACTTTATATTTGGCTAACATTTTTTTTTTCGTGTATGTTCCGTATTGATGGCGCGGCGCGTGATTCTCCTGTCGCAGTTGTCGCAATTGTCGCAGTTTTCGCAGTGGCTGCCTTATTCGTTTCTTTTTATTACTATTCCTAATTTATTGTCGCAGTTATTGTTTATTTCTTTATTTGTTAATCCTTGGTCTTGTTGTTGTTTTTGTTGGTGTTATTGTTAGTTGCATTAGCCTGGGATGCGTTTTATTTGCAAGCTGCTGTTACTGTTTCTGTTGCTGCTACTCCCCGCACAGAGGCGAGCGACGCAGTGACGTTGTTACGCAGCACAGAATGGAACTTCAATGTCGTTGTTGTCGTCTCGCAATTCTAATTTGTCTACAATCCGCTCTCCTGTACACCGTCGCTATCCCACACACTCAATCCAATGCTTCAGTTCGTCCAATTACAACACACACGTTGCTGCTGCTGTTGTTGTTTTTGTTGTTGCTGTTGACGATTTTTGCAAATTAAGCTATGCGTTGCCATTCCCATTTCATCTTGCTTAACCGTTTCTTTAAAATCGAATTTTAATTGTACTATTTACCGTTTGACACACACACGCACTTAAACAATTGATTTCTACCACAATTTTTTATTTTTTTTCGTACTCTTATGAGCAACGAATAAAGATATCGACCGTGAGTACAATTATCGATTAATACCAGTAATGCCATATCACTGGCATAGAAAACTGAATTGATGCTCAAAATAGCCAGTAACATGGGGTGGCAACATTGCTGATAAAATTTAATATTTTTCTTAAAATTACACATTTTTCAATTTATTTGCAGCAACACAAAGCAAAATATATGCTCTGCATGCCCTTGAAAGCAATATAATACCCGTTTATGTTGCCTTAAAATCTGAAATTGAATATCGCAATGCCCACGCCTACAGTATGCTCAATGTTGTTACTTTTTGCTCCAACGGACAAAGCGGCGCACACAACAGAGCAATAGTAAAGAAGTTGTAAATGTATGTTTCTGATGGCTTAAAACAATATATTTTGAACAATCATTAGTACCTTGAGGCAGTTGTGCTAGATAAATATTAATTCATAAGGGCCACACTCCAGGCAACGGGCAATGAACAATGAGGCAACTCGCGACTGTGCAACTCAGCCACAATTGCGGTTTGCAAGCTTAATTTAGTAATAAAACTACTACTGTTTGGTTATAAATGTAGCATAACGATTACTTACCACTTAAATGTGAATTTTACGAATAGTTCCGGGATTTGAATAGCCTTTTTTTCAAATTTACGACACAATCTTAAGGAAACACACACTTTTGAATGGCCAGAAATGGCAAACACAGTACAGGGCTGCCAACTCTTTGCAAAGAAAAGGCGCGCGTGTTGGACAAAACGCGTCAAGTCAACGATTTTTAGATATTTTGAGCAAGAAATTAATTTAATTTAAATGTGCAATGAGAAGTACCATTGCTTGTTTAAGTGACAATGCATCAGTCATTTAATAACCGTTATGTCGGTTTATTCATGGCATTGGTCAACAACATTCCCAGTTACACATTAAGCGCCAACAGCTGATTTTTGTTTTGCGTTTTAATGACGTTGCCGCAACGCATTCATTACCCGCATAGTCTCGATAATGCTCATAACTATAGTAATTTAATTAGCGGCGCGTAGATCATGGCTCGGACATTATCAAATATGCCAAAGTCAAGCATGTACTTGTACACAGTAAGTGCATTGTTGGCGCTGCTCAGCTTAGCCACATTGAGTGATTCTCAAAAGCACTACACACGGACACGTAGACTGGAACTGCGGTACGTAATTAATATTCATTTGTATAAATGTTGAGAAGGGGAGTATGAATATGTATGCTTGCAGTGAAGATGTGCGACGCATGTTTCAGCACGCCTACGATGGCTATTTGCGACACGCATCCAATTATGACGAGCTGCGTCCGTTGACCTGCGATGGCCACGACACTTGGGGTAGCTATTCGCTAACGCTAATCGATGCACTCGACACGCTGGCCACCATGGGAAACTATACGGAGTTTCGTCGCGTCTGCACGCTGCTCACACAGAAGATGAATTTCGACAGGGACATCAATGTATCGGTTTTTGAAACGAATATACGCATAGTGGGCGGGCTACTCTCCGCGCATTTGTTGTCGCGACGCGCCGGTGTTGAACTGGAGCCTGGCTGGCCCTGCCAGGGACCGTTGCTGCGCATGGCCGAGGACGTGGCACGTCGCTTGCTGCCCGCATTCGACACAAACACTGGCATGCCGTATGGCACGGTGAATCTGCGCTATGGTGTGCCTAAGGGTGAGACCTCAGTGACATGTACAGCCGGTGTGGGTACCTTCCTTGTCGAGTTCGGCACGCTTAGCCGCCTAACGGGGAACAGCATTTACGAAGAGGTCGCACTTCAGGCAGTTTACGCGCTTTGGGAGCGCCGCTCACCCATTGGCCTATTTGGGAATCACATTGATGTGCAGAGTGGTCGCTGGACGGCCCTAGACTCGGGTATTGGTGCGGGTGTCGATTCGCTATTCGAGTATTTGGTGAAGGGTGCCATTTTGCTGAATCGACCGGAATTGTTGCAGATGTTCCATGAGGCCCGCGAACCCATTGATCGTTATATGCGCAAGGAAGACTGGTATGTGTGGGTGGGCATGAACAAAGGTCATGTCACACTGCCTGTTTTCCAGTCTCTGGAATCCTTCTGGCCGGGTATACTCAGCATTGTCGGCGATACTGAGCCCGCTCTACGCACCATGACACGTTACATAGGCGTTTGGAAGAAGTATGGCTTCCTGCCTGAATTCTATAACATTGCGGCTGGCGAAGCGGCCGCCAATCGCGAGGTCTATCCACTGCGGCCCGAACTGATTGAGTCAGCCATGTATCTCTACCGCGCCACCAAAAACGAATATCTTCTGGAGCTGGGCGAGCACATGCTGGAAACAATTGAGTTTAGCGCCAAGACTAAGTGCGGTTATGCAACAGTAAGTAAACATAATGCCAATCAGGCAGTGATTATAGTTTACACCTCACATTCACCTCAGTATATTTAAGATGGTATAGCTTTATCATACACAGTTTTCTCTCTGTTAAGTTAAAATTAACTATTTCCCATTTCTATATATCGCTACATGTTCTCCTTTAAGTATCCTCAGTGAAGCGGTAGGGAAACTCGCAATGCGTTAGAATTAAAACAATGAAGCCTGTTCCCATTTCCGAATTAAACCAAACTAAGTGCAGTCGAAGAATGATTCAGCTATGTGGCTAGTGGGGAAAATTTAACTCAATCATATTAAAAATTGAGTGTATTTATAAATCTGGCATCCGCATTGGTGGATTTCGGAAACACATACAATTTACTTAAAATCATGTGACCTATGTCCAGAACTAAGTTTCTCAGCTTTTTAGAAACGTCAATCAACTGATTAACTGAAATCAAAACTAGATACTGTAGCACAATAGCATTCATTTAGATAATCTCATTTAATAGACGAGTCAAAAATTCGGAAATCATGAGTTCTATATCTTTTATTGTCAATCAAACTGTTAAACGATATCGGAGACCCAAACTGCGTGCAAAATGGATTTGTTTTGCAGTAAATTATTTAAATGAAACGTCAAAATTTAAATAAAGCATAAAAACACATGCAATCATAAGATCTACACATGTATGTCCAACACTTAGTTTCTAAAGCGTCAATCAAATTTGAATCGAATCCAGTATGTATTTGAGATGAGCTTACCTAAATGGCAAGTCAATGGCAAGTTTCTGGAACCTCAATCAAATGATCGAACGTTTTCAAAATTAAAGCTAAATATCGCAAAACCAAACTGAATTCAAAATAGATACTCGAGACTCAAACTGGGCTTAAAATTGGATTTAATGGGAAGGGAAAAATAATTGCTCTGTGTAGAACTTTGTCATCAGTCCCATAATTGAACGTTTTTAAAATTGAAATGAAGTGATTTATCTATGAGTTGGAAGCCTTGGATGTCCAAACTGTCTTAATATTTTAAAAACAGGAAAGAAACTCTCCCCCATCATGAATTCTGTGCAATTTAATTTTTTCTACACAGATTCGCAACGTGGTAACCCATGAGAAGGATAATCGCATGGAGTCGTTCTTTCTGGCCGAGACCAGCAAGTATTTGTATCTGCTGTTCGACGAGGACAATTTTCTGCACAACAACGGCGAGCATGGCGAGCAACTGGACTCGGAGGACGATGTCTGTGTGGTGCAGGCAGGCGCGTATATTTTCAATACAGAGGCGCATCCCATGGACATGTCAGCGCTCCACTGCTGTCACGATATTAAGGAGGATTTTTACAGCACACTCGATCTGTCGCAGTTCAGTGAGAAGGCACTGTTGGAGCGCAGTCGGAAACAGCGAGTGGCAGCGCAGGAACAATGGACGCCGCCCTGCCAATCGAGCGGCTTGTCCGATTTCCCTGGGGAGCCGCGCAACGCCCAGGAAGCGGGCAAGGCCCAAACCGCCAGTCTGGCTGTTGACATTGAGGTGTATGATGAATTCCAGCAGCCAGCGGCGGATGTTCTCGTGGGAAACTTTGAGCGAATCCGCAGGGAACGCGAGTCAAATCAGAGTGCGCAGAGCAGCGAAGTGTCGCGCAATCAGCTGACGGTCAGCGATCTGGACGAGTTCTTTGGAAAGCGACGCGAACAGTTTACCAGCGCCGAGGAAACCCTCAACTACGTGCTAAACTTTATGGACAATTTTACAATGGATGTGGCTTTCATACGCGGCTTGCGTTTGTATGATGGCAACATAAGCAGTGTGCTCGGCACAGGCGCCCAAAAGGAGTACGAGGGTCGGATGCGCTCGTTGTGGCAATTGTACGAGTTGGAGCAACAATATGCGGCCAATATACAAGTTATCCAACGTTTGGGGCTGCTTAATTTTCAATCCGATGGTGAGACGACGCGTCGTCATCTCGCCGAGGTGCTCGACAATCTGAACTATCGCCATAAGGCGACTGTTAATGACACCACGACAGAGCCTCATGTGGCGAGCGATGTGGAAAATAATGAAACCACCGACGCTAACAGTGACAGCGACAAGACCATCATACGCAATGCCATCTATGAGGCACGGATTAGTTATGAGAACGCCATGATGAACACCACAGCCATGCAAGAGTTTATGCATCGCGTCTATGTGATGGGCACGAGCGAGACAGCGCTACCATTTACGCCTCTGCTCACACAGGAGGAGTTGAGCACACTGCATGTCATCGAGCTGGATGCGTTGGAGGAGCGCGATCTCTTCAAATACACGCGTCGCATTGTGGACTTTCGCAAGCGCATGTCCGAAACAGTCGACCGTCTACAAACGCTCATGGAGGAGCTGAAGCCGCCCAAGTCGCTCAGCTCAGCGGATGTCGAAACGAAGGGCACAACTTCGATTTCACCCACAGCCGCGCCAACAGAGCCCCAGAGCCAAAGTGTGGTCTCCGAGGCGCCCAGCAACGACTCCAAACAACAGCAGTCTCACACGACGTCTGAGTCAGCAACAGAAGCGCCAACACAGTCGCAGGAGGAGGCGCCATCGGGTGCGGGATCGGTGTGGTCGCAGTTTGTGCAATCAATTCTGCGCAAAACCACTGTACAGCGCGTGAAATTCGACGAAGCTGTTCTGCTGGAGAAAACACGCAAATTGCTGGAGAAACACGCCCACAAGGAGCTGCCCCACCAGCTATTCAGCTGTCGGCGACCCGAATATATCGACACGCTCGCCTATCGCGACTTTTATCCAGAAGCGCTTTGAACACGGCAACTTGTTCCAAAATCGTTCGACAACGACTCGAACTCGACTGATTTCTGTTACTATATCTATATATATGTATTCTGCCAGAGAAAGCTCGAAGTTGGGAGAGCAAGTTTGCAAAAGTGGTAAAAATTTGTGACAATTCCGTTCGAAGGCGCCTTTCGTTTTGGGAGCCTGCAGTTTTGCGTCCCGCATTTCAAATTGGGATTTGCACAGGCCCCGAAATGGGCCGTCTCTACTCTCTTAATTAACATTTATAAATTTACTTTCCGGTAATTTTATACTCTTGTACATAGGGTATATATAATTTTTAAAAAAGTTGTTAAGTTGGAATCGATTCCATCTCAACGTTCCTTGCACGTTCGTTTGCTGCGAAATGAAATGGTCTCGGTATTGCAGGCTTTTTAAATGAATTGATAAACGTGTCCCAGAAAATAGTTAAATAGTTAAAATATAAAAGAGCTATTCCCGTTTTCGGGTTTGGTTAAATTTTTCAAAATCGATTTCTACAAAATGAGAGACTACCTCGAATTTGTTTCCAAGAAAATGGAAAAAGGAAGGACTTTGTTTTTGCACTTAGGATTTGAAATTAAATTCGTTAAACGAAACTTGAGAATTGGCTTGCTTCCACGACAGAGATTTTCTTCCTTTTCGAGATTTTCTCGAATTCGTTTCAATACCATAATATGAAAGACTTTTCTTTCCCACTTCGGAATTGTAAAAATTTGAGTGATTTCAAAAAATTTGATCGAATTCGAACGCCGGTAAGGCCCCCATATGTATATTAAAAAACATCAGGTGTTAAGTATATAGCGATGGTTTTCCAGCTAGAATTTAGGGAGAACTGAGGATAATATTAAGTAAATAAAACACATAGCGTTTAGCTATTTAAGTTAATAATAGAATCCTGACTCATCGGCCGCAATAAACGAGAGCTCCCTCTGATTATAGTCACAACTATACATATATTTATATATATATACATCTCTATATTTTTATTGATATTTAATTTGTGTACTTATATTATTAGTAATGTGTAAAGAAACTTTGCATATGCGTGTGAACTATTTAAGTTCGTTTTTGTTGGCTGTAATTAATTTTTATGTGCGTAATTAATTACATTAATTGGAACGAAATGTGTTCGTGGCGTGGATTGTTGTTTCGATTGGATTTTTATTTCTTTAACTTCTTCTTTCTTTGTTTATTGATAGTGGGCGGAGCAGAGCTGACAATAGGATGGCAAATTGTCGTTCACGCAATGCCATATATATGTATATATATATATATATATATATATATATATATATATATATATATATATATATATATATATCTATGCTCGTATATACATGTTAGGTATGTGGTTATGTGTTTGAATAAATGGGCCAGTTTATTTTCGGAAATCGCTGCACACTTCAAGGGTTACTTTCTGTACCAACCGATGACGTTCGATTGGCAAAGTTTGGAAAAGTAGGCTCCGTGTGTGGGTAATGCGGTATTTCAACACTAAATTACAAACTTCACATTATAGGTAATAGTTTTTCAAAGCAGATGCACTATGTATATATACTACATCTAGAGGCAGGATCCCCTTTCTGATTTTCATCAAATTTTGCGGAATTGTAATTTGTAGATGTGTTCTATTTGCAAAGACTTTTGAGCTATTTGGCACTAAAAGTTTTTTTATTTTTTAAATCGTATCCAACCGAATTTTGGATACTCTTTGGAATAAATTCTCAAAGCTCTGTTCTATTCCGTGCTTTTGGGCGTGAAAAAGTTGTTAAGCCTTATCCAGTCGAATTTTGGATATGAAAATATATAGTAAATCAATTCCGTGCAATTATTTCTATAATAGCAACAGGCGAAGGCATGATATATGTACCTTCTATGGTCGATTAATATACAGTTTTTTGATAGATTTAGGCCTGCAAACTGAACCTTTTTTCATATTCTGCATTCTTTTTTTCCACTTAGCAATTTTATTATTTTTCAAATTAAGGTTAAGCACAATACAAAGAAATAGGTACCTAATTTTTTTGATATCTCTATAAACGAAGAAGATTTTTGGAACCGATCCCAACTATATAAAATAATGATGCATTATGGATAAGACAGGTCTACATACCTTGTTCAATATCTCTATCTTTTATGGTTTGAAAATTCTCGATGTTCATACATTCGAACAGACGAACAGACTGACGGATTGAGTCCATTTTGCAGAAAAGGAATCCTCAAGTATGTTATAATTTTCCTATGTATTCCTTGTTATTTATTTTGAAAACACCGAAAAGTCCACCAACTGAATCGTGAAATCGAAGTTTTTCAACTTATGACCTTAAAAAGTAAATTTAAAGAGAAATTTAGTTGTCGAGCAGAAAGTAGCAGAGCTGTTACGTTTTTATGTCCAGTGGTTTGCGGGATTTGTAGTCTAGTTTCTAGAATAATAATTTTGGAAAGGAGTGCTCCTTAAGCTGGCTATTCAGTGTAATATGGAAACTGTTCCATATTCGCGTAAAAGTCTTTCAAGTTGCAAAAACTTTCTAGGGTCATGTGCCCCTCTGCAAATATTAAATGGCGATGCCGCTCCCCATACCTTTATGTACGTACGTTTGTTTCTACTTGTATGCTATGGAGTTCGTGTTGCAAGCAGTGGGTCGCAGCCGCAACCCATGTTTACTGATGACGCGGCCGCCAGTGCGGCATTGTGGGTCACACGCCCTTTAAGGCAACCTGTCACAGCTATTGGTTCCTCCGTCTTCGTCTCCGTTTGGCATTTGCACGCGCGCGCGTCTCTCAGGATGTGTGTCTGTGTGTGTGTGTGTGTTGCGATGTGGGTGTTGGGCGCCCAGCGAAGCCTTTCATGTCAAAGCCGGCAGTGGCAGCAACAACAAAGGCAAAAGTTTAATGAGCACAACTTTTATAAATGAAAAGACATTGCCGAGTCGAGTCTTTGATTTGCGTATGCGAGTGTGTGTGTGGTTTCGGCAGCGCTTTCACTTGCGGCACTGACGCCTTAGACGTGACCCGCCACGGAGCAGCGGCTGGCCATGGTATCCAATGGAGGAGGGCTGCTGCCAGACGATGCAGATAATGAGGAAGATGGCGATGAACACCACGAAGGTGATCCGCGTCCACTGCCCTATGCATTTGAGAAGGAACTCATCCAGAAGTCGAACAGACATATTCGTCTGACTGAATCTTTCGTGCCCGTTACCAAAGGTACGTTTCAAACCAAATTGAAGCAAGTTCATCCCTAAGTTTTTCGACAGTTTCTCCCCTAACAAGCAAGTTCTATGCCCACCATGAGCAGCGAAAACCAAGGCAGCCGGAGCGCTTTCTGCGTTACACTGAGGTGGCACAGCTGGAGCGTCGCACCCCACTGGGTGTGCCGTTGTTGGAGTCTCAGGTTTATGGGTGGCTGCCGCTCAAAACAGACTGTACGCCAACGATCCATTTGAATGTTGCACATGCGCCCAAACTTCGCTGCGGCATGACCATCCATGGTGAGCATCTCTTGGCGGAGCGGGTGACTGAGCGTCCTCCGTTTAACGGGTTGCGGTTTCTTCTGCACTGAGCAGCAACTGTTGGAAATGTGCTGAAAACACGCAAACTCTGCGTACAAACCTATATATAAATGTACATTGCCATTATTCATGCCATACCAATGTTTACAATATAAATATAGCAGGCAAATAAATTATTGGTTAAAGCATATGTATATGCATGTCGCAATATGCCTCTCAATCAATTTAAATTGAACGTAGTTTCTACATACAGATATGTACATACATATGTATTCAAAATATTAACGATTTAATTGCCTTGGCGTGCACGGCAGCCCTATTTAGTTTGTCGAGTTGACAGCTCTGTGGTGTTTACTTTTTGGTATTGTTCCTATTGTTTTTAATTCTTCGAGCGTTTCGGCAGAAAGGTGACATAAAAACAAAATTATACGCTTACGAAATGTGCATAGCAGGTTGCCATCAAACAATTTGAAATCAATAGCACGTAGTCACTAAAATGGTAAGTCAACACCAGACCGGTCCCAGCTACCTTAACACATTGCTCTTTGCACGTCGCAGAACCAAAGGAATTATGAATCCGACGCAGACATAGCTTCTGATCAGAATGGCAGATCGTTTTGGACCAATGACTCCGGTGGATTATCAATCAACCCGGAAGCACTGCTGGATGTCGCTGTTGAGGCATTTAATAAGCTCTGTAAGTGTTCAATATCCTGTAGTGAGCAAGCTTATTAAGACTCTATGCATTTAGGGCTGCAAGTGCGACGTATTATAAATTTTGCCATGTACGATTTGGGCGGATATGAAGCCTTCGATGCAATTGTCTTGTGGTGCGTGCGTAATCCCCACAAAGCTATCTGTGCCTTGGCCGCGCTTTTCGTTTTCATTCTACCTTTTCTAATCATAGTTGGTTTCGGAATTGCTGCTATGGTGTTGACATTTGCTGGGATTTTAGTACTCGAAGGTCAGATCATAAATATACAGACAATCACATGTATATTGAGGCTTAATTATTATTAATTTATAGGAACTCTTCTTACGATTGCGACCATTATGTTCTTTGCTTGTTTGGGTGGATTGGCCGTTGTTGTTGTGTTGTTAACTGCTTCCGCTGTTGCTGCATATTTTGGTGCTTCGCAGCTCTTTGGTGGAATGGAACGTAATCAAGATACTTTATTGAAGTTTATGGAAAAGCAACGCAGAATTGCCTCTGCAGCCCGAGGAGGAAATGGCGCGCACAATGTCGCCTCATCGCATACTTAGTATAAGAGCTATGAAACCAAGACTGTGAAGTGAATAATCTCAAAATATACATATTTGTATTCCAAAGTAATCTAGTATTATCCCATTAAACATAACATTGGATTAAACATTTTATAGAAATCATTTCAGGTTTAAAACACTTCCAGCGCGGCCACTACGCAATTGAAGCAGGTTGGCAATCTAGCTATCGAAAATCGTGCGGACAAGTATCGGTATGGTGCCGTCGCTAACTCAGTCGTCGTTGTCGCCATTATAGTTTTCGCAGTCGAAAATTTGTTGTACAGATATTTTCTTAGTTTAGTGTGAAGTATAACATTTAAAACCTGCTTTAAAGCAGATTGAACTAATATTGACGCGGTAAGTAGTTGAAATATTAAGCAGTTAATTAATATTTCGGGGTAATATTAAACAAAATTGATGTGTGAAAGAAAACATTACCAACAATAGTACCAAGTGCGCATAGAAAACATATACACATGTGTGTGTATGGATTTAGTTCATTAGCAAGTAGTCGCGGGGGTGTGGTGTGCTCACGCACACTTGTGTATTGCGTACAAATTGTATACATGTGTACACATTTGCTTGTGTGTATGTATATTCGTGTGAATATTTATTTTGAGGGAATAGTAAACAAAACCATAGACACAACTTCATTGAATTAGTTAATTCGTACATTTAAATTATATTGTGATTTCACTAATCGAATAATGAGTATATGTATGTATGTATGTATTTCTCATGTGCATTTGTGTGCCGTAGCAGATTGTATACAAAACTGCATACATACGCACGTAAAGGAGTTGCCAACTCTGCACGAGTTAGATTTTAACTCAATTATTATTTATTTTATATGCATTTCAAAAGAAGTACACACACTATATATGTGTTAAATGTGGTTATCTTATGTAATTGTTTTAGATCGTTTTGTAATAGTTAATATTTAATTTTGATATGTATGTCACTTAAGAATATATGGCAACACTGGGCTGCATTTCACTTGTACATTTATGTTGTTGCTTCCTCCCACTTATGTGTATGCTGTGCATTTTCTTTACTGCTGCTCTCTCGTTCTTACACTCTACACTTCACTGTACGCTGCACTGTGATGCGCCCGATGCTACCGACTGTGGCGGCGGCCATCGCCGTCACTTGCCTCAGTTAGTCGGTCGGTCGGTTGCCAGTCATTTGTCTGTTTCTTTTTGTTGAACGTGCTAGTCGGTCGGTCGTGTTTGTTGGCTGCGCGAGCACAAGAACAAGTTTTAAGGCTTGCCCTTTGGAAGAAGAATAAGTACAAGAAAATTCGAGTCAAAATAAATTAATATATTTTGTTAAATACCGTTGTTTATGGTTTTTGTTTGTTTCTGTGGAAGTGAACGTGTGTGTGTGTGTGTGTGTGTGTGACAAAGATTGAAAGAACCACATAAAATAAACTCGAATTAATTTTAAAGGTTTGTACTGAATGTTTATCAGTCGGTCGAGGTTGGTGTATTCCCCAACCAGGTAGCAAGCTTAACATACGCAACACAAATACACACATAATTATGTTTAAGTGTGTTTGTTTAGTTTGCGGCATCTCGAATCTCACAACGGAAATGTACAAGAAATGAGTAATGCTCGACTCTTGTATGTTTGTGCTATGTATGGCACTTTGTTGTTGCCCTCTTTCTACCTGCTTCGCTGCTTTCGTTTTGGGCCTCCTATATAAACAGATACATTGTATGTACATATTTATGTACATACATATATCTCACTGTGTGCACACATAGCTCGGCTTGAGTTTTCTTTGATTCATATTGTGGCTTTAAAATATTTAACCCACACACACATTAACATTAAACAAACAATTATATTTCCGCCCAAATTATTTTGCTTAAACTTACAAACATTTTTATTTTCTTTATTCTTGCAGGTGTGGTGTAAATCGCCTCTATCACCAAGATGAGTTATATGCCAGCACAGAATCGTACAAGTAAGTAAATGGTCTTAATCAGATTATAGGGATTACCTTTCACTGGATACGGTGAACATTTGATTATCGACAAATATCTGTCTCTAAAAATGCAGAATGCAGAATTAGGTCGGTAGTTGTATTTAAATTTATTTGTGGTCAGCTCTAAGAGAATAGAAAAAACAATAACGCAGCTTAGGAACTCGAATATCAGAAAACTCTGAATTCAATTATGCCGGTTTCTTTAGCTGATATAATTGGAACTTTGATAGCGTAAGTTTTATTGTATAAGTCTAATTTTCTTAGGTATTGTACAGTAGGACTGGAGATATGACAACTGACTTGACTAGTGGTTGAAAAGGAATGAGCAGGTCTTAGGAATATGGTGGGGCTGTGGAAAAGTTGACTCTTATTTTTGTATAGTCGAATCGATATAGTGTTTATTTGTTGGGTCAGACACAAACTCTTATAGCTGCCTAAAACAGTTTTAATATAGTATGTCTGAAAACATTCAGAATTTAATAGCAACAGATCAAAATACCTGCCATAAAATCATGCAGAATTCAATTAGGTCAGTAGTCGTTATCTAAATTGCGTTTTTGCCAACTCTTTGAGTTTCAAACCATTAACAAAACAAAAGTTGTAGTATTCTAGCCAAGCTCTTAATACTTTATATAAAAGAGATTGCAACTTTGTGAATCGTAAATATCAACAGTTCTCTGGGATTTGAATTTGAAACAAAGTCATTAGAATAGGGGGGTGCAGCTGTAATAAAACAAAAAACCAAACGGCCGGCCTTCCCTTCCTCTTCCACCTTCTCACTTCAAATTGTTCGCCTTTCAGACAAAAGTGCATGTCTTTCCATTTTAATTTCTACCATTCTGCCTCTTCCTTGCTCTCTCATTCTCTCTGTCCCTTTGACATTTTCAACTAAAATATGTGCGTCAGCCATCCAATGTCCTGTGGGTGGATGGCTGGCTGGATGGATGGATGGTTAGTCCATATGTACTTTTTGTTTTTGTAATTTAAAATTTTATGCCGCCTACGAGCAGCTAAAGGGGAAAAAGAACAACAAAAAAAAGCTCTTTGTGGCAGTTGTTGTTGTTGCCACTTCATTTGCATTCTGTGCAAATGTTGAGAGTGGGGTTGGGGGTGGCGTGTTATACCCTTTGACAGCATCATCTCTGCAAACAAACCACCCACTCGCATACACAGACATACACTCAAACACACATGTGTGCATGTGTGTGTGTGCTGGCAGCCTTTGGCGTTGCGCCTTTTTGTGTTCCCTCATTTTCGACTTGGTTGAACTTTCCGCCAGTTTCTGCTGCTGTTGCTCCTGCCAGCTCTCTCGTTTGAGTCTTTTATTTTTTACAGAATTTAATTAGTGTTCAGGCACCAGGCAGGCAGCAAGCGGCAGGCAACAGCATCTCCACATCATCATGAATTATGCTGCCAACGCTATCGCCACTTCAGTGTTTGGCCCACTTGAGTATTAAGCACAAAAAGCCTTTAATCGATCAGGGAAATGAAACGTGAACGCTCTCTGCCTGCCGCCTGCCTGCCTGCATTATGCATTGCCATGGAGTGGGCGTGGTAATGCGCCCATTCGTGCGTAAACAGAAGCACACAAAGTAACCCATGAGCTGGCATAATTAAAGCTCGAAAAGGCAAACAACGTGATGTAAATATACATATGTAGATCACACACGAGCTTTACTTAGTCAGTACTGACTAACCGGCATCTGCTCACGCAGAATCTCTTTCCTAAAATGTCACCAAAAGCCCACCTATCTCGAAGATCTCTCTAATTAAATAGGTGCTTAAGAGCCTTATATACTAGGAACTATACTTGGAACTATAGCTCTTTCACAGACACTTTTAGAAATCTTTCGTGTGAAAAATTATGAATTGGTCATTTGAATTTCCATTAAGTGTAGTATGGTATTTCTAAATCTTGGATAAAAAACCCACAGCAGTTGCATTATTATTAATTAGAAAATCTTAAAGTTCTACGAGTAGTTGTTAGTGTAGTTTGTAATTGTTTGAGTTAAAGATAATAATCCTCATCTTGTTTTTCTACAGTGTCCCACAACAACCAATACAATCCGCCGGACTTGCCACCTATGGTCTCGGCTAAGGAGCAGACGTTGATGTGGCAGCAGAACTCGTATTTGGGCGATTCTGGCATCCATTCGGGCGCTGTTACCCAAGTGCCGTCGCTGTCTGGGAAGGAGGATGAGGAAATGGAGGGTGATCCGCTTATGTTCGATCTGGATACTGGATTTCCGCAGAACTTCACACAGGATCAGGTCGATGATATGAATCAGCAGCTGAGTCAGACACGCTCTCAACGTGTTCGCGCTGCCATGTTCCCCGAGACATTGGAGGAGGGCATTGAAATACCATCGACACAGTTCGATCCTCAACAACCGACGGCAGTGCAGCGTCTGTCGGAACCATCGCAGATGCTGAAACATGCCGTTGTCAATTTGATCAACTATCAGGATGATGCTGAACTGGCCACTCGTGCCATACCAGAACTGATCAAGCTGTTGAACGATGAGGATCAGGTTGTGGTCTCGCAGGCCGCCATGATGGTCCACCAACTCTCCAAGAAAGAGGCCTCGCGTCACGCCATCATGAACAGTCCCCAGATGGTGGCTGCCCTTGTGCGTGCCATCTCGAACAGCAACGATCTGGAGAGCACCAAAGCCGCCGTTGGAACGCTGCATAATTTGTCGCATCATCGCCAGGGTCTGTTGGCCATTTTCAAGAGTGGCGGCATACCGGCACTGGTCAAGCTGCTCTCCTCTCCCGTAGAGAGCGTACTCTTCTATGCCATCACCACGCTCCACAATCTTCTGCTCCATCAAGACGGCTCAAAGATGGCTGTCCGACTCGCCGGTGGCCTCCAAAAGATGGTCACACTGCTGCAGCGCAACAACGTCAAGTTCTTGGCCATTGTCACCGACTGTCTGCAGATTCTGGCCTATGGCAACCAGGAGAGTAAACTGATTATTTTGGCCTCTGGCGGTCCCAACGAACTGGTCCGCATTATGCGCTCCTACGACTACGAGAAGCTCCTTTGGACCACATCGCGTGTCCTCAAAGTTCTCTCGGTCTGCTCCAGCAACAAGCCGGCCATTGTTGATGCCGGCGGTATGCAGGCCCTCGCTATGCATTTGGGCAATATGTCGCCGCGTCTCGTCCAGAACTGCCTGTGGACGTTGCGCAATCTGTCGGATGCTGCCACCAAGGTGGACGGTCTAGAGGCTCTGCTGCAGTCTTTGGTCCAAGTACTGGGCTCGACCGATGTCAATGTGGTTACTTGTGCTGCTGGCATACTCTCGAATCTGACGTGCAATAATCAGCGCAACAAGGCCACTGTTTGCCAGGTGGGCGGTGTCGATGCACTCGTCCGCACCATCATCAATGCCGGCGACCGCGAGGAGATAACCGAACCGGCTGTCTGCGCTTTACGCCATTTAACATCACGCCATGTCGATTCGGAGCTGGCCCAGAACGCCGTACGTCTCAATTATGGTCTGTCTGTCATTGTCAAGCTATTGCATCCGCCATCGCGTTGGCCACTAATTAAGGCAGTCATTGGACTTATACGCAATCTGGCCCTCTGTCCGGCCAATCATGCGCCGCTACGCGAACACGGCGCCATCCATCATTTAGTGCGCCTGTTGATGCGCGCCTTCCAAGACACAGAACGCGTAAGTAAATCCAAACAACTGTGGTCACCCAAATAGCATAAGCCTTGAAGACGTCTTTAATATCAGTTTTTCGATTTATGTCCACATATTTGTGATTAAATTGTCTTAACTCGTTTAATAAGATTCTAGGAAATCGGATAAAGTCTTTCTTAGTAAGATAACTTGTTTGTTTGGGAAAAGAGATATAAGGAAATTTTGTATTTATGAATTTTTCACCATTAGCTGACGATTTTGCTTGTGCTATTTATTGTTCATTACAATTAATAGTATTTAATGTCTAATCCTTCTGTCTATTTGAATTTTCCGCACAGCAACGTTCATCCATTGCCACTACGGGTTCGCAGCAGCCCTCAGCCTATGCCGATGGCGTGCGCATGGAGGAGATTGTTGAGGGCACTGTCGGGGCTCTACACATTCTGGCACGAGAGTCGCACAATCGGACGCTCATACGCCAACAGTCGGTCATTCCGATATTTGTACGTTTGCTTTTCAACGAAATCGAAAATATACAGGTAAGCAACCCATACACGTTTATGGACAGCACATGTACTAATGGTGTGTGTGTGATTTCGCTTTCATTAGCGAGTGGCTGCGGGTGTCCTTTGCGAGTTGGCTGCCGACAAGGAGGGCGCCGAAATTATTGAACAGGAGGGCGCCACCGGCCCGCTAACCGATTTATTGCATTCACGCAACGAGGGTGTTGCCACTTATGCGGCCGCCGTACTCTTCCGCATGAGCGAGGATAAGCCGCAGGACTATAAGAAGCGTCTGTCCATCGAGCTAACCAATTCGCTATTGCGTGAAGACAACAATATTTGGGCTAATGCCGATCTGGGCATGGGTCCGGATCTACAGGTATGTCCTTCCCCTCTTCTATAAATATCTACAAACATAGAAATAAATATATTTTACAACAAATTCTGTACATTTGAGGATTTAGGATTTAGATCTTTAGTTTATCTATAACTTTTAATCCTAGTTTCTTGTCTTTTAATTTCTTCTGCGCTTGTTTACTCAATCCATCTGCCGCTGTAGATGTGTGCCTCCGATTGTGATTCAAATTCAATATAATGGGGTATATTAAGACAATCGGGTGTTGCACGATATATGAAGATAAATACTTGGAGACCGGTTCTTAAAAAAAGAATACCTCTATAGTATTTATGTGATGAAGAAGGCTTAAACTGGACTTGATTGTATTAAATCATTCATCGATACTTTTCCAGTTATACTGTAATCTTCTAACACGCTTAAGATATTAGCATATTTTTACATTTTCAAACGGAGGCTTTTAGTTTTATAAAATAGTTTCAGTAAATACAACACCAAATATTTTGTTTTGTTAAAAATGAAATAAATTCACTTTTTAACTAACGAAGTTTTAACCAGTGAGCAACTAAAAAAAGCCTATCAAATATAAGCCTCCTCACAAAATGGCGCAAAGAAAAAGAAGAGGAAATAACGACAAACGAAAAAGGAAGGAGTTTAGGATGCAATTTATGTTATCCAGGCACTTTTTACCATCTCAGTTCAGATGTTGAGTGCGCAATGCTTGTAAATATATTTGCAAAGATTTATAAAATTTTGAAAACATATGTATGTATTTAAAAACATTTGTTATTGTTTGGCATTCTTTTTCAAATTGAAATTTGACTACACAAATTAGTTATAATTCTGTATATAACTTATAATTAATTTTCAAATATCTATTAGTTGTTAAGCAATGTAGTTAATCGGTTGTAGATTTTGTTCGGTAATATTTGATTATTCATACCATATGTACATACATATATCAATATATATACATATCTATTGGGTCGTACATAAGAAATTTAGATTTCTTCCTTTGTTCCCACAAGAAATTAACTTTTGTTGATTGTTTCCTTTAATTGAATTGAATTTTCTTTTGTTATTTATTTACATTTTCATTTATTTATTTATTTATTTTTTTCTTGTTTTTCCTTATGTTAATTTTGTGTGAAAAAAACAAACAACAACAACAACGACAAACTCACAACAACACTCAACAATGGCACATAATTACAAACAAAAAACAAAAATGAACGCAAATATAATTCCGCTGGATGATGATGATGTTGATACATAAAACCCATGCACCAACCGCAACAACAACAACAACAACAATTGCAATACACAACCACCACAACAACAACATTTTCTCACCTATTCAACAACTACGCCTCTTTTGCGCGTCTGTTGTTGTGTGTCTCTTTCCTAACAACTTTTCACTTCTGATCAATCCTAACAATCAAACGTCTAAACACACACACACACACACCTACAATCACCCACACACCTACACACTACATTTAACTAAATACAACCACAACATCAACAATCACAACGATGATGTCGTCGATGGTGATGAGTACAGGATATGCTTGGACCCGAAGAGGCATATGAGGGCCTTTACGGACAAGGTCCACCCAGCGTGCACAGTTCGCACGGAGGTCGCGCATTCCATCAGCAAGGTATGTAGCTTAGCTTTAAAAAAAATCGATCGTTCGTTCCTCAAGCCCCAAATAAACCGACCAACCAACAAACCTTCGACCTACGTCTCAACTACAAGGGAAGCTCAACGCCAACAATCTTACAGCAAACAACAATAACAACAGCGAAAAACTTCTTCAATTCAATTGTTAACAATAATTAACCTAATATTTAACCCCCACCCAACCCATACATTCGTACCTCCCCTGACATTCATTCACATATGTGTAATCAACAAGTTATCAAGTAATACTACGTATCTCTTTTCAATTTTTCAAACTATTTCTCTCCGCCCACACAACAAACACATTTTACTCCAACTCTTAGCTCATAATTCTCTATCAAATGTTTTCACGTTCGATGCTAATCCTGCATTCTCTTCCCATGGTATGCAAGGTATTGAAGATCTCTGAACAACTGCCAGTCTAACACCAAATGTCCCCAGTTAATAATATAATAAGAATACAAATAGAACTGAACATTTAACCCAAATCGGCTGCATGTCAAATATATGCAAAATTCAAATTGAAATTAAATAACATTTGTGTCCGTGTGTGCGTGTGGTTTCCCCCAAACATTTCAGCGCCTTTTTAACCGTACCACAGTTAGAGCTGCGAAACTATCTATAGAAGGTCGGCTTAATACTTTCGGTAGTGTCGTACATGTTTCTTAGAAAAGGTGGAAATTATTCAAATATAACTTCCTAATAAGTTGAAAATAATGCAAAAATATGTTTAATAGTTCAAAAAATTCTTAAAAATTTAAACATCAAACTTCATTTAAATTAGTTCAAACATAATTTTTTAAACCATTAAACCTATTGCTAGCGCCTTCGATAGTTTTGCAGCTCTAGTACTACCACAAAGTTACAAGTTCTAGCACCATCCTCTGCTTCTACTTTGCAACACCTTAAAGCCCCCTACCCTCTACAGCCCTTTTCCGACTAAAAACCTGAACCAACATTTAAGAAAACAAACTCCCAGCAACAATTTTTCTTTTTCATGACATTCATTCACTATAGAAAAAAAAATGCGACGAGTATGCAGATTCAACCTCCCAATTATATTTGTAATTAAAACTCATATATTCACTGCTCTTTTCAAATCAGCAATTAGATGATGGATCCGATCCGATATTCAATTCTCTGTGATATTTTATATTAATATTATATTTATATGTTTCAAAATAATAATCTGTTCGAAAATAGTCCACTATTGGTATAAAATCGAACTAAAATGGAACGTTTTGTTTGATCTTGACTCCAAATAATATCTGAACTCTATACTTTCTATATATTACTATTGCGAAACATAAAATTCATTGAGTTCTTGATTTCAAATAATATCTCAACCTTATAATCATTGGATCTTGATCTCAAATTATTTCTCAACTTATACAGCTATATAAAAATATATCGAAATAGGTCGATGTTCAATGATCAAGATTCAACCTCCCAGTATACCTTGTTGATTTCTCGACTAACCATACAAGTTTCGACAAATTCAAAGTGTTCTTATAAGGATTGAATCTCTATAGTACGCGTTCTCGAAATTTGCTAATTATTAAGTATCCATTATTTACATTAGTTTTCCATTTTGGTTTCTCGTATAGGAAGCAAATACTGTTCTAAATACCTACATATATATAGTATTCTATACTATATACAGTCATGTGGACACAATATTAGGGACACTTGCATTGGAAAGTTCATTCCCTAGTCCGTTCTAACTCTAACGGCAATCATCTTAGCCCTTTATTATATAAATGAGCTTCCTTATATTTGAACATTTCCTCATATATTTAGGTATGCAGATGATTTGAAACTAATTCTATCTTCAACTATCCACTATATTACATTCGTTATTACGAGTTTTTTAATATTTGGATCTCTCTCTCTCTCTCTCTCTCTCTCAGCCTTTTTGTATACTAGTATACCCTTTCGGTTTAATTATTATAAATAGGCATAATTTTGGATAAATAAAGTTACTGAAGTACATTTTTTTTTTCGTTATTTGTCACTGATTTTTGATTCCTTTCGGCTTGTTTCCAAATAAATTTGAAATCAGTGTGATTCTGCAATATCCTGTCCTCAAAATATTTCACATGACTGTATATACATACTACATATTCTCGAACCATCGCCCGACATAATTCATTGTATTCCGAATCAGTAGCACCACCTCGAACAATGGAAAGCTTTTTCCATTCATTCTAATTATCAGCCCCTGTCCGTTCGAAATAAATTGAAAATTTTTAAAATACTTATATTTGAGCAGTAACTGAAAATGTGGTCTCTCTTTCTCTCTCTTTCTCTCTGTCTCTTTCTTTCTTGCCACCTTTGCTAAAATGGGAATTACTTGCCATATAGTAAAGCCAGCCTAACAGCACTAAATTCTTCATATCAAGTATAAAATCAAAATGAATAATAATCATTTAAAAACAAGCATTTAAATCAATCAAATAACAGCTTATACCCACACAGTACAGTACTCTCCAATTATCCAATAATCCATAAACTGTAGTCTAAAGACCTATGCAAAAAGCTTACACACACACACACACACCCTCCCACACGTAAACACTCACACCCTTACACACAAATACACACACACACATACAGACGATGCTATACCAAATTCTTAAAGTATACAATATATACACTCATGGACAAAAAAGGTATGAAGTCTAAAATTTTTAATGTGTCGAGAGGGAAACAAGATGAATTGTTAATGCTTTCGCTTATAGTGTTCATTAGAATTCATTAATTTGGATGAAACAAAAGTGGAATTATTATCTACCTTTAGAATTGTACACAGTATTTAAGAAACTCTTTAAAAAGGATTTATTTATTGGGTTTGTGCAAAGTGTGTAATAGGCAGGAAGAAGTATCTCTGAACCTATAAAGTGTACATGTATGTAGAGTATATTCCTAATCCGCAACAAGAAAAATCTGTGTAGCCATGTCTGTCCGTCCGTCTGTCTGCTCCCCTCCTTCCCCCGCTACACAGTTTCGTCCATACTGTCCCCAATTCGAAAGCTACAGAAACTAAACTTTGCACACGTTATTTCCATGGAATTCGGCTGTAAGACTCTCTCTTGTTAGTTTTGTAGATAAGGTTATAGAAAATTAGCCTGTTTTTTGAGGAATAATGAAGGCATAAATGGAAAACAATTCACACCTATTATTTTGTCTATGCGTGTATAAATAAGTGAAGGTAAATAATATGTGCTGGCCAGGAAAAGAACAACAAAACTAGGTGAAGAGTTTTCAAAATGTTTAGCACATAAATTTAATTTCTTATCCGTTTTGTTTTCCAACACTGTTTCTGTTTGCTTATTTGTTCAAAAAAAATTACAATTCAATTGTTTCTAAGTGTTTTCAATTTTTCAAATCAAACAACAAAAATTGATGCTCACCATTATTGCATGATACTCGCATTCGCATCTCTCTTCATTTCGTCGCATGTGCCGTCTTGAATAGCGAAAAGTACAGAATACATATCTATTTTATATCTATATAATTATATACATATATATCTACTATTTTTAAAATGAACGCGTATTTTGTTGCAAATATCCAGCGTCTTAATTGAAATAAAATTAATAACTAATTTTGAATTTTTTTGCTTTCGTTCTTTGTATTTTGTTAAAAGGATATGATACTCTACCAATAGATTCGATGCAAGGCCTCGAGATCAGCAGTCCAGTAGGCGGTGGTGCTGCTGGCAGTGCTGGCAATGCCGGTGGCGGCACTGGCGGTGGTGGTGCAGCACCACCCAGCGGTGCACCCACATCGCCCTACTCCATGGACATGGATGTCGGCGAGATCGATGCGGGCGCATTGAATTTTGATTTGGATGCGATGCCGACGCCACCCAATGACAACAACAATTTGGCTGCTTGGTATGACACCGACTGTTAAACCACACAACCACCACCAACCACCAACAACACCACCATCAGCCACACAAACACCACACAATGGCAGCGCATTCGCATACATCAACAATATACATACATATATAAGTATATAAGTATATATACCTAGGTGTATTGCTTTCTGTAGTCGTATTCTTTTTTTATTATCATTATTATTATCATTATTGTAATACAAGGGCAATCCGAAATATTTCTAGCCTGACAATGATACAACAGTATAAACAAATTATTCATTTTTTTCAACACAGTCTATTTCTAAGTCAACACACCCTCTCCAAACCCTCCGAAAATGCTCCTCAAAATGGTTGTTTACGAAGGCGATAAGCATTTCTGTCCCCCAAACGCAATCTTGTGCTTAGGGAATAAAAGGAAGTCAGTTGGGGCTGGGCCTGGAGGAATAAGGAGGGTGCTGAAGCAGTTCAAAGCATAATTCATGGATTCCTGGCAACTGCTGATGTATAGGATGGCGCGGTCCTTAAATAACTTTGTGGTTCCAGCCATCTTCCTAACTTTGATTCGGCGGCTGTGCAGAACCATTTGGTGAATTTTGGCAATGTTTTCGTTAGTGGTTACAATTTTTGGGCGTCCTGGACGTCTCTTATCTGTCCAGAGCTTAACAGTTGCAAACGATGGACAGCGTCCATCTCGTTTTTGATTGGCGTAGGCGTGTTGCTTTATTACCGCAGGATATTCGACTTTTTCCACATTTACAAGAGCACTGATATCGACCTAACTATATTATCAATATGGCTGAAATTTTGGCAGAACCACATTAAAAGATGCCTCATCACAATACCCTAGTTTGGTTAATATAGGAGGTCGTCTTCATTGCCCGGCTAGAAACATTTCGGACTGCCCTCGTACATGGACATTTTTTTATTCGCTTGCTTCATAAACAAACGACAAATTGCAACAATCTATATATATAAAGAAAAATAAAGCAAATATCAAACGTAAGGCTATACGCTTAAAAAAAGTGAAACAATACAGGAAACAAAAAATAAGTGCGAAAAAATGCAGAGTTTTTAGACCATCACAACATCCTATGCTAAAGGACTGAGAGATGGTTGCATGTTCCATGTCCTGGACCAGACTATTTGGGGTCCTGCCACAGTTGAGAGGACGAGAGAGATTATTTCAGAGGAATATCAACTTTTAAACTCTAACAATACGTAAATACCTAAAAGTAAAAACAAATATCTGTAACACATACAAACAAACATACATACATGCATATGTAAAACTAATCACGTGAGCGCGTACATATATAGATATGAGTATACTATATATATATACACGATATATCGCGAAAACATACACATATATAGTATATATATGAAATGCGAAATCTTACATATATTACCCATATAAACGAAGTGAAAATTAAACGGATATGTTTGCAATAATTCAAATCAATCGAATTGTTTTCTATCTTTACATCTGCTTTATGGGTTCCTCTGGTATATACTTTTTACCTTGATGGATCCCTACGGAAGTACGAAAGGTACAGGTATGCAATCTCATTGTCCCAAATCCGAGTTTCCAGATATTCTGTAGTGCTACTACAAGTATGTACGTTTGACGCGAAGCCTAAAAAATACGTTTCTTCAGTTTTACAACCAATCGAGTTGTTATCCTTTTACTACCTTTACCTTGGAGAAGTATGAAAATGCTACGTTAAACTTAACAAGATATCTTAATTTGTATGGTCTGTGATTCCAATAAGCTTATCTATTTGATGAATCCCTTTGGAAGTTGAAAAGGTACATGTAAACAATTTTATTGTTCATAGCTTGTTCTGATACGGAATTCGAGTTGCGGGCTACCTGAACCCTTTCGGTACTGACTGAAACTGGAATATTTACGGAAACATTTTTGTATATACTGAAAGCTAGTGTTTAAAAAAGTGGGTTTGCATACTCGGAAATTTAGTTTTATCCTGGCACATATATACATACTCCCAATTTGATCGGGATAGTGAATGAAAATGCCAATTTGCGATCTTAGAGTGCTACTTAAACCCTTTCGGTATTAAAAACTGAGCACATTTTTGTTAGCATTTTGAAAACAAGTGCTACAAAAAATAGTGAATTTGCATACTCAGAAATTTAGTTTTATCCTGGCACATATACATACATATGTACTTCCAATAAGAAATTATATTGGTGTAGTGGGCGCAGATGCCAACTTCAGCAATACTTTTTCGTCAAGAGTATCGGTCAAGTATAATCAATCGTTAATAGTGTAAGCGTATCCCGTTTAACATTTATGGGCATGTTTTTTCTTCAACTTCCTGCCTTTAAATGTTTTTCATACTGTAGATTCTATAGCTATATTTCTTAACTCTTCAGTATTTTATTAATATGGCTGCTTTTAAAAACGTAGCTACATTTTGGATACTTCACATACCATAAGCATATGTCATATAAATTGGACAGCTTTCACTTAAAATCCAATTATCAAAATCGTTAATTTAAAAAAATTGATAGCACTGCTTGTTAGTATATTTTTGCGTATCGTTGACCTCGATGAGCACTGCCGATAACATCGATACAATTATCGATACAAGGGCTTTTTGTTGCCCTTCTGCGTTGCGGGAAATGTTTGTATGTATTTGATTTTCGTATTAACAGTTAGCACGAACGACGCCGAAGCCAAAGCCGCCTAAATGACAGATCCAATTGCGTTTAAGCTGTTTAAATCGGTAGATCCGACCAAAATTAATGTGCCCATCAAGGAGAAATTTGCGAAACTGACGCTCTCGTCGAATAAAAAGAAGCAGGAGGGTGATAGAAAGACGCCGCATCTACAAAGCAGAGTTAGTCGAAATCTATTAGACGAACTCAATATCCAGGTAGAGCCAGGTCCAGAACTAGAGCCTGACCCCAGCGTGGTGTTGGAGTCTGTTATGCGTGAACATCCAATATTTCGTAGTGATTCGTCATCTGTGGCTGCCATGGAGAACACGAGCTTTGAGCAAACAAATCGCACCGATTTGGATCGATCGGACTATATGGAACCGCTGCAGCTGAGCGCAGGTGGGAGTCAAGAAATTGAAATCGAAGTGCTATCGCAACAGGTCTCCAATCTGACCATGCAACCACGACAACAGCCTAAGAAAGAAGTGCTGGCCAACCACATCTCCATTTGCATTTCCTCCAGCAGTGCGGAGGACGGCGTTGAGGAGGACGAAGACGACGACGACTCCTGCATTACCATATCGGACAGTGAGGATGGCAATGTAATGGAGACCAGCGAGCAGCAATTGACACAGCTCCCACCCGTAATACCACTGAACGAGGACAAGTTGCAGCGCATTGAGGCGTTCCTCCACGACGTGTCCATCGAGCGCCATCAGATGCTGCAACGCGGCGCAGACGCAGTGGATCTTCAGAATTCACCCTTGGCTGAGCATATACACACAACGCTGGCTAATGCCGATACGGAGTCAATGAGCCTGCTGCTGTCTGCGGCTGAGGCGGAATTTGAAACCAGTGGCAATGCCGAGTGGCTGCCGCAGCGGCCTTCACAACCTACTCGGCGGGATAGCAGCAAACGTTTGGCTGACAACGACACAGAGCCCAACACACTCTGCTCCGAAGAATTGGGCGAACAATTAAGTTTAGAAGACACCCTAAACGAAACACCGCCAGCAGGACAGGCTGATGTCAATTTGGATGAATCGTTGACCATTCCGGAAACATCGAGCGAATTTGAGGAGAGCCCGCAAAGGCAAATTTCTGCACCCACGCCAACACCAACACCCCCACCTCCAGTTTCCTCCCGAGACACGAGCTCTTCTGACGAAGATGCGGCCATACAAGTGAGCAGCATCAATATATCGGCGAAAATAAATATTAAAATACAAATACCCACCATGGATGCGAGTTCCACTGATTCAGATCCGCCGCGTGGCAGTGACAGACAATCGAACAGCTCCTCGGATGCTGAAATTGAGCAGCAACGGCAGGAAAGACCACCAGCGGCCTTACTCGAACCCAAGGAAGCAGGCGAACGCTCCATTCTAGTCGGCAGCGATGCCAGTGATGTCGACGAGCAGGATGAACAGTTCCTGAGTCAGGCTGAGAAGCTGCTGAATCAGTTATATGGCAAGGCTTGGCAAACGCCCGACGTCATACGCACTCTGAAGCGTTCTAGTGGCAGTGGCGGCCGAAAGCCCCGCACACCCCTCACCGAGGTGAGGCGGCAGCCTAAAGCCATGGTTGCCGCCGCCACCACTGCTCGAAAAAAACGGCAACCACCGGTCGCTTCCAAAGAGGAGAGCATCCTGGATGACTTTAGCATTTGTAAGTAAACATTCCCCTGTTCTGTCCTGTTCATGTATTTGGCCTTCCTAGCTTTTAAGTCGAAATTATTAATTATTATTATTTTCCACAGTCAAGCGTGCTATTCATGCAAACAAAATGAATTCAACACAACTGCCTTTTCCTGCGAGGGCCCCGACAGCACGAGACAAGCCGCAGACAAAGCCGCGCATCCTTACCAACCATAAAGATGAGGCTCGTTGGCGGGCCTTGGTGGACACAGACAGTGGCAGCGATGCCTCCGACGATGATGAGGCCAATGCGACAATAACCAGCACAAGCAGCAACAGTGATAACGATCACGATGTTGGGGATGTCACCTATCTGGACTTGACCAGCAATGAAGTGCAAGTCGTGCCTATATCCAGTAATGAGGACAACATCGAACGTAAGTAATTTCCCGCGAGATCCTATCGATGTAGCAGTAAGGGTTTTGGTTTTGCAAAAACTTTGTAAAGCAATAATATTTCGAATGAGTGGAATCACAATTTGTCCAGATAAATAAATTGCATTGATTTTACTTTAATGATAACGCCACGTTTAACTGAATTAATCATAATAACAATTAAGCCGACTAAGATAAATGAATCTCCAAAAAATATATTAGAAGATAGAGAGAAAAAGTGGATAGAACTATAAAGAAAATATGAGATTAATACCCATATCTAAAAGAATTATGTCGTTATATATGTATATAAATCAATGTCTGTCCTTTGAATCGATGCGATTATATAATACTGTTAGTGGATGGAGAAACAGGCTTTAAATTCGAATATGAATATTGAAAAATAAACTAAAAGATCGGTTCTCAAATGTAGTGATATCAAAAAGTAAGGTCTATCCATTTTCTTTTTGAGGCTAGGGCTATAAGAAAATGAATTTGTTTTCTTTTGTGTTTCCTTACATCGACTCTTAAGCTATTTAAAAAGTAAAATCGAAGGTATTTTTGTTCTAGTTTAGTTTTAAAGGATTCCTATAATTCAATACTTGCAGCGCCGAAGGGCCCGAAACGTCTCGATGACATTTTACGGACTTGTCGTGCCGTTGAGAAACCAAAATTGCCGGCTACGCCTCCAATAAATACGCGTCGTCAACTATTTACACCAAATACTGGCTACGAGGATGACGAGGAGGCGGAACGGATTGTGAATAAAGCACTCGAAATGGACGTGCTTGATGATCTCGCGGATGTGTATTTACCAGGTACGCCGGTGCATCGGCGTCTACAGCAGGTGAGGCGGCAATTGGGCCTCGAAACACCGACTTCACAGCCGGTTTTCAAGCCAATCCAGACACCACAGCCAACACCGACTCCGCAACCCATCACCAAATCGGTGACAAAAACAATTGAGCGCAAAGCATTGAAAAAACGAGAAGCACCATCGAATGCCACGAAACCACTACGTGCCACAAAAAAATTCAGTTTCATCAAATCACTGGAACCGAATCTTAGTCGTGAATTGTGCGACAATGAGGCCTATTTCTATCGCGAACAGTATGCAAAAAACCGGGAGGAGTTAACCAAGAAATTATGCATTCTGTACAATAAGGAGGTCTTCAACAATGAGCTGGACGTGCCAGTAACTTGGTCAAAATTGTTACGCAATACTGCTGGAAGATGTAAGAATAAATGCCGGTAAGCTTTGCTGTTTTGATTGCTGTGAAGGATCTTGCTTATCCAAACATTTTCCCGCAGCTTTAACAAAGAACGCAGCAGCGTCGTGGAACTGAGCCTAAAAGTGCTCACCAGTGCCGATCGCTTGCGATGCACGCTCATACATGAGCTTTGCCACGCAGCCGCCTGGATATTCGATGCCGAGAGCGGCCATGGACATGCGTGGAGGCAGTGGACCCACAAAGCCAACAAAGTTTTTCCGGATCTGCCGCCCATACGAGTTTGCCACAACTACGACATCGAATATAAATACACTCTAAAGTGTTTGACTTGCGATATTTCGTAAGTTATGATGTCCTTATGATTGCGCCGCTCGTTATCTCATTTCCCTTTCAATTTTACAGCTCCCAAGCCCACTCCAAGTCCCGGAAGGTGGAACATTTGCGATGCAAATACTGCCGTGGCAATATAACCGTATTCCTGAACAAGAAGGATAAATCGGGCAATATGGTATTGATGCCGGTGCGTGAGCCCACTGGATTTGCTAAATTTGTCAAGGAAAACTATTCAGAAAACCATCGTGGCAACCATAAGGAAACAATGCGCACACTTAGTGCCGAATATGCCAAACAGAAAGCGCAAGTGGCAAAGACAGCGACGCAGGCGTCAAAGGACCTGGAGACTTTAACTATACGAAATGATGACTGAGTGAATATGTACACATACGCTGAAAAGTATTTTAAAATAGCCATTTCATGTGCATATACACGCGCTATATGTATGTATATACATACATAAATATGCTTCGCATTAAGTTTTAATAAGTGTTCAAAATATTATAATCGAATAGATGTACTTAAACGTAATATTGATTGTAATTGTCATTCAATGATTTAAACGTCAATCGAAAACTATTTAACGCCCTTTTTCAATCTGCAAAAAAAAGGACACACACACATGCATCTTGGTAGACATTCAGGAAAAAACCCGTTGCAATCCAGTGCGTGTAGATGCCTGAACGTCGCCATCTTCCAACACTGTTCGCGTATTTAGTAACGACTAAGGAGGCTTTTTAGAACGAATGCGCCGGCTGCACACATTTTTTTGATTTAACACTTTTCACTGGCGGGAAGTATTTCAGGAGTGAAAAAAGTAAAAAATGTACACTAGGTCGATGGGCCAGCACGCACCTAAAGAATTACGTTTGATTAAATCCTCTTGGAGCAGATTGGATCGGGAACTTGGCAATGATAAGACGTATCCGCTTAAATTTAACGCTTTGGCCAGAAATGCAGAAATGATTAAGCAACTTTTTATGCGTCTCAACGACAGGGTGCTCCGTAAGCGTTTACAGGTGGCAATAAGGTGGTCACCTCTATTGAGAAAAACCGCAGGCAGATGCTTGTATAAGGAAACGTAAAATAAAATTGCATATGTACATAAATACATATGTATTTATATACATAAATGAGTGGGTTTTTTTTTCAGTTCGGCCGGCAAACGCTATTGCATAATTGAACTTAGTTTGAAAGTTGTGACTAGCGCCAATCGTTTGCTAGCCACGCTCATTCACGAGCTGTGCCATGCGGCTAGCTGGATTTTAGACGGAGAGCGTGGCCATGGACGGATCTGGAAGAAATGGATCCAACGCGCTAGAACAATATTTCCAGATCTACCACCGATGACAGTTTCTCATAACTATGCGATTCATTATAAATATATGCTGAAGTGCTGCCTTTGTGATGAACGGTAAGATACACAATATTTGAATTTCGAATATAATATTTGAATATGCTGTTTTTGCCTCTCCACTACAGCAGTGGATTCCACTCAAAGCCGAGAAACTTATCATGCCGGAAATGCCGTGCGAATCCTGACAACGTTGAGTTGTTGCGGAACGTGAATAACAAAACGAGCAATGTTAAAATGAAGCCGATTCGTTAAGCATAAGAGTTTTTCTAAATTTGTTCAGGATCACTATATTACGCCGCAAACCCCTGAACGTAAACGAATCGTGGATTACAGACAATTCAAGGCACAAGCCGCCCCAGGACCAACCAATTGAAACAATGACCGATGGAATGCTACATGAACATTAAAATATTCCCCACAAATGAATATATTTTACCAAAATTAACTTTTGACTGAATGCTGCTGAAGCTACATGCACAAATTATTGTATACAAATTAATATATTTAGGTTAGATTATAACAAATCTACACATAAAGCCAATATTTAATGCTACTTTATCTTATGAATGCCGATTGTTACTTCAAATATTGCTAATAATGCTTATTATTTTTGAACATTTCAAGACGTTTCATATGCAAATTTGAAAAGAGCAAATCGTTGAGGAAGCGCATGCCTTTTTATCGATAATGCAGCAATAGATGTCAGTGCTGGGTAATGGCTATTTTAGATTTGCCTCTATGCTGACAGCAATACTAGAAAAGTGATGACAATACCATAGGGCATAGGCCGATTAAATACATTTAGACGAATTTTATGTATTGAGTAAGTGTTTCGAAAATCAACGTTGCATTACATTTTGCGAAATGTGATGTTTTAACTGTAAATGAGTGAATGCATATAACATTTACAGCGTGCAATGACAGCCATAGTTGTCACTGGGCTTATCGATAAACGATATGCACACATTCACATACATATGAAACAGCAGCACTTATACACCGTAAACAGTTGCCCCGAACCGAACACGTCAGCTACGCGGATTGATTAAAAACAATTTGTTTGGATAATTTCAATAAATTGTTTGTTGCTGTAACTGCTCGCTTGCAGAGTATTTGAACATACACAACGATATAGTTAACAGGCTGATTCTAACTCTGCTGCAAAATGGTACGCAACTTTGCCGACATGACAAACACACACACACACAAACACCTGCTACCCGCAAATTTCTTACATTAGCGATTTAATAAAATGTTAAAATTGCAATTCTACAGGTACTCATTGCTGCCGCAGTCTGCACAAAGAATGGGAAAGGTAAGCAAAGTCTCCCAGCCCTTCTAATAGGTTTATTTTAATTCAAATTCGTTTTCCACACACACGTACACGTACGCACACACGCAGTCATACTGTCACGTCAGTTTGTGGAGATGACGAAGGCACGGATCGAGGGGTTGTTGGCTGCATTTCCCAAGCTGATGACAGCTGGAAAGCAGCACACGTATGTGGAGACGGACTCAGTTCGGTATGTGTATCAGCCGATGGAGAAGCTCTACATGCTGTTGATAACAACAAAAGCAAGTAACATTTTGGAGGATTTGGAAACACTGCGTCTGTTCTCTAAAGTGGTGAGTCTATTAGTTCAGCTTTGTTTTTCATACGCTTGCATACATTATTTTAATTGTTTCTAACTAATACAGATCCCGGAGTATAGCCACTCCCTGGAGGAGAAGGAGATTGTCGACAATGCATTTAAATTAATATTCGCTTTCGATGAAATTGTTGCGCTGGGCTACAGGGAAAGCGTAAATTTGGCGCAAATTAAGACATTTGTTGAAATGGACTCTCACGAGGAGAAAGTCTATCAGGCGGTGCGTCAGACACAAGAGCGCGAGGCACGTCAAAAGATGCGCGAGAAGGCTAAAGAGCTGCAGCGTCAACGCATGGAGGCCAACAAGCGTGGTGGTCCATCAATGTCCAGCAGCATGGGTGGACGCAGCGGTGGCTTCAGTTCCGACAGCTTCGGCAGCAGTGGTATCAGCAGCGCCGCAGGCGCACCGTCTATTGAGTTGGACAGCAAACCTGTGCCGTCAAAAACAGCGCAGTAAGTCATCCAATAATTAAACCAAGACGAATGAATGCATCTCTTAATAATCCAACAGAAAGCCTGGCTCGCGCAACGCTCTCAAATTGGGTGGCAAATCGAAGGATGTAGACAGTTTTGTCGATCAGCTGAAGAGCGAGGGCGAAAAAATTGCCAATTTGACGCCAGCTGCGGCTGTCGGAGCCGGCGGTACAGGCTCCAGTGCTAGTGCAGCGGCCAAAGCTAAAATTTCTGCAGACATTCATACGGAGAGGTGCGTATAATGCTGTCGACGCGGCGTTTTTTAAACTCTTTGTATCTGCAGCGTACATTTGAAAATGGAGGACAAATTGACTGTGCGTTTGGGCCGCGATGGTGGCGTCCAACAATTCGAGTTGGCTGGCCTCCTAACACTACGTATTAGCGATGAAAATTTGGGCCGCATTAAGGTTAAATTGGCCAATAACGACACACAGGGTATTCAGTTGCAAACACATCCGAATGTGGATAAGGAGTTGTTTAAGACTCGCGCCATGATTGGCCTCAAGAATCCGGCCAAGCCCTTCCCCTTGAACACGGATGTGGGTGTGCTTAAGTGGCGATTCATTTCGCAGGACGAGTCCGCCATACCGCTAACCAGTAAGTTCATAAATAAATCAGTACTTGGGGCTCGTGCTATTTCTGTCTCCTCGTCTTCCTCCCTCTCTCACTCACAGTCAATTGCTGGCCATCAGATAATGGTGAAGGCGGCTGCGATGTAAACATTGAATACGAGCTGGAAGCACAGCATTTGGAGCTACAGGATGTGTCCATTGTCATTCCATTGCCGTGAGTAGAAAATGAATTGTTTGCTTGGAACTCCACTCATAATAATTATTATCTAAATTTGAAACACAGCTTGAACGTACAACCCTCAGTTGCCGAGTTCGATGGCACATACAATTACGATTCACGCAAGCACGTCCTACAGTGGAATATTCCCATAATTGATGCAAACAACAAGTCCGGCTCTATGGAGTTCAGCTGCAGCGCCTCAATACCTGCCGACTTCTTCCCTTTGCAAGTGTCATTCGTATCGAAGACGCCATATGCTGCCATCAGAGCGCTCGATGTCGTCCAAGTGGACACCGATGCATCGGTCAAATTTTCAAGCGAGACCATATTGTTTGTCGAAAAGTATGAGATCGTATAAGGCACAAATGTAATGAGCGCCCCCGCCTTGGTGCGTGTGTGAGTGGTTTTGTGTTCTTATTACTACTTCTACTTCCTATCCTCCTACCCCATCCCAATTAAGGATCGACATAGCGTGTTATGTTAATTCTTATGCATACATATGATTTATAGAAATGTTAGCCTATGCTCTTATTTTAAAGTTGAATATCAAGAATGCACGTTTTAAATTAATGCGTGCCGATGACTTTTAAAGTCGTGCGCGCTTTTCGCAGTAGTTCCAAAAAAATGTGCTCTAAACAACAGTAATAGTATAAACAAAAATATATTAACATTGTGTGTAAAACGTAGAGTATTGTTGTTTAAACAATATATTTTAAAATAATATTGTTACTCCTTGTCGCAGTTGGTGATGGTAATCTAAGCAGTTGCTGTGCTGTGGCTTCAAAACTCTAAATATTTTGCCATGAGTTTCTGAACTGCAGATCCAAGCATAAAGAATTGCAGAGCCATTTGAATTAAACAATATCTTATATTTAAAAACGAAAATAATTTACACGTCGCAGTTGTTTAGCAAATATCTAAACATTCAAACCTCTAAATAATTGGCTATGAGTTTAATGAACTTCTGCTGATTAAACATATGTATAGAAAAGCATATCTATTTGAATAGCGTATGTATGTATGTAGTATGTATGATGCGAATCATTTCCATATTTATTTATCATATAACTATTGATTACTGAAATTTTTATTTACCCGCACTATTTTGAAATTCAGGCAAAAGCATACAAATTTGAAAAAGGGGGAAATCATATAGATTTTTGAATCTTCGATATTGATTGTGCCGATTGCAATCGACTCATTTTTAACACTAGCGCCATCTATCGCTCGTTTTGAGCTGAGCAACTCGACGCATTTGTATTTTGCGAGATAACTTTATTTAAATATTCAATGTGTCTGAGAAGTAGAACTTAAAAAAGTTGGCTGTAACAGAATATTTGTTTTGCTAGAGAGTTCTGATTTTTGATTTTTTTGAAATCTTGTGCAAATAATTTGCTTGCCTGGTCAAAACTTTACCGATTCGATTATTTATAAATATATTTCTTGAACCAACAGTCAATGAGCTTAGCTTATTTAATGTTGCCACAAAATGTGCTAGCTGTGTGCTTTTTAGTACCAAATTGGAAATGATTAGATAGTAGCAGAAAGTCCTTATAGAAATACATCATACAAATTCGAAAAATTGAAACAGTTTTGTTGATAAAAAATTGATAATATAAATAATGTGGGTATAAGCGTGCAACTTCATCTTCGCTAGATTTTTAATATAAAGGTAGGTCGAACAAATAAGTGCAAGTTTCAAAACTTTGAAAATGTGCGCTCATCTCTTTAAACATCGTAATGACATGTATATACATACATTTATATGTGTATATATGTATATCTATCTACATACATATATTGTATTGTATTATTCATAAGCATTGCATGTTCGGCGCATTTTTGTCACGTCGCCAAGCATTTTAAATGATCAGCGCTCGTAAATGATCTTAAAATAATATTTTTCAGCTGCCAGAATTACTAGACATTCTATATACTATATATAGGCAAATATGTGTGCCTACACAAATGCATTATCTATTTTTAAAATAATGTCTTTACTGATATTAGAAAATGTGACATTCAACTTTCCTTTTTTGTGACTTTTCCGCTACGAAATGACATGCATATGTCTGTGCATAAGTTTCACATACATATGTAGGTGCCTATGTGCAATCGTATGTATGTGTGTGTACACCGCTGTGCACTTAAACAGAAGCAGGATTTATATATATGTATATATTTAATTTGTCTTCATGTGAGTGCTGTTTAAGAATCAGACAATAATAAACAACATCGGTGCATCGATTTTTCCATCGATCGATCACCTTTTTTCGTTGCATCGATGTACATAGATATCCTTATAAACATTCATACTATACATATAAATATGATAAGCATGGTAAAAGAAATCGATAGATACATTTTCGTCCTTTCATCCGTTCATCTGTGCCTTTGTTCGTGTATGTATGAATGCCGCGGTCTGCTAAACCATAACAACTAGGCCCTCTAAACTTGGTTTGTAGATTTGTCTTGAACGTACACGAAGCAAGTTTATTGCAAATCAAAAGTAGCACCATTTTTTATATAGCTGCCAAAGGACTGATCGCTGCCAAAATCAGTCTTAGTAGGATACATTTTTTGTTTATAAAGATTTCTTAAGCAAACCTGGTATTGCTTAGATTCGTGTAGTAGTGAGTGTCTCACGATACTATCGAGTGCCATTAAAATCGGCTTACTATATCATATATGTACATATCTGTCAATGAAATGATTGGAACAACAGAGTTGATTTCTGTTGGATGGCTATAAAAAGAGGGAAAAGAGCAGAAGGCACAGGGTCGTCAAGATTTTCTTTTGTTTTATTTTTGAGGGCTCTATTCAAGTGGCTGGCAGTGTGTGTATGCATGTACATATGTAAGTGTGTAAGCAAATTAGATGCACTTTTGTTTTGTGCATTTTGTTTTCGCGACAATTTGTGTTAATTAACTGGCTTTGTCTTGGACCCGACCTTGGACAAACCTCAAAATAATTGCACGCAACGCACAGTAGTTTTGAATTGGAACTGCACGTCATTTACATACATATGTACATACTTACATATGTATATAGTAGTATACTTATATGTGTAGTACTGAAGATTCTAGAGTGTGTCTACGCATTGCATTTCTACTTACATTTTGTATGTGTATATGGGTATGAAGTAGTTGGGATTGTTTTACAGTCGAAGTGGATGCGTATACATGTACAAATTGTTTAGATGGGTTATTTATTTTTACTGAAGTTTTCCGTCAAACTGCAAAATTTTCCACACTATCCGATGGCTGTGGAAAATTTGTTGCAATTGATTCAAAGTCCCATGCATTGCTTTTGTGGGCGACAAAAATATGACACCCACCGTCCCTCCAGCTCCACCAGCACCAGCAGCTCCACCCAATTTTATTGAGGTTTACGTCACTCTAGACATGAGAATGTAGAATGGCCAAACCGACAATAATTGCCAATTGTTATTATTACTATATTTAGCTACATATATTGTTCTGTCGACTGCTTAGAGAGTCCCTCCCGCAGCTCCATTTCCAGTTGAAGTTCTTTTAAAAATGATTACGAAATGTTTCTGTCACGTTTATCGTTTTGGGGACCGGGAATTTCACGTGCTAGGGCAGTGTGTTAGCCCAGTACTAAGATATATACTATATACATATATTTACGATCACTTGTTGGTTTGCTGTCGAACTTATCAGATAATAGCGCCATAAAGTTGATTGGCGCCGTGCTGGGGGTGATCTAAGTAGAGCAGTAAGCAAATAATACTTAACATAAGCTTTGAGTAGTTGATGACGGAGCAATTGCTTACATCACGGCTTTAGCATGAACCGACCACTGGCCGCTGTGGCGAAATTACTGCGTCTGATAGAAAGTTCGAGAACTGCGTATAAAGCAAGCCATATTTCCAGAAATATTATAAGTGTTTGAATATTGTTTGCTTTATATATTCACAGCTCCCCAAAAAAATTGCGGAATTTAAAATAATGCTAGAGTTACTTATTTGGTAAATCAGTTAGTTTTATTAATGGCTAGCTATTACACTGATTAACTAATGAGAAAACTAACCAAAATAGAATTTCGGTACTTAGCAGTATTTGATTATAGATTTTCAAATTGAAGTATATAGATTGTATTTAAAAGATGTTTCCAATAATATTTGAATTAGTCGCTAACATTTCGTAAACAATTTCATAATACTTTTAATATCCGTCATGATTTTTTCCGAGATTTCGTGTGGCATCCACACTTTGTTATTCTCTTCAAATCCAGTTTAATGTCGGTGGCTTAAACAGGTTTTGTGGACAACTTTAATCTCCAAAACGATGATATGATGGTCTGCTTCAATCATTTGCACGATTTTAATGGACGGGGCTACCTGTACAATGAATCGATCTATATTGTTGAAATTCAGTGTGACCAACACTTTACGAATTAGAACATCAAAGAAGACTAACTAAAAAGAAAGGGATTCTTTGCTTTATAAGTAAAATGTTATGTGCTTGGAATCAGTTGAGTCATTTAAATCACATTACAATTACTCTTTGAATTGCTACAACTATCTATAGGTAATGCATTTTTTTCGATGCCGATATGTACTTATGGGCTCTGTGGATCCAAATATATGGGTACGTTCATGAATTCATTGTGGGCTTTGTCTGCAACTCCTCTGCTTGAACGTGACATTTGGCATAATCAAAGCATTGCTTCGATATAGAATTGCAACAGACCCCGAACCCGTCCCCCTCCCCACCTCTCCATGCCATGCATTAGCCCCATCTGGGAAATCGTTTGCTGCCGCCATACAAAGTCGTCTATGGAAAGTTTTCTGCATAATTAATGTGCACGTCAACAAAAATGTACGGCATGATAAGCGATTTCGTCGACATATATACCACTGCTGTACATATTTGTATCTTTATATACATATATAAGTACATTTGTACACATTTCTATATATGTATATACATATGTATATAGAAGAAGCAGCACGTGCTGCTTCCGCCAAGGTGAATTGAAAAGTCTTACAAGTTCGCGACCGTTTCGTCATCGACTTTGACTTCGAATTCACATGAATAATTGTGCCATATGTTTCCCATTTTATCGTTCATATTCACATATTACACATACTTACACACATACATTCGCACACACACATCCATATCTTTATATATTTAATTTGTAACGGTCGCGTGCGGGCGAAAGGGGAATCAGAAAGACACTCATAACGAGTGGAATTTTCCATGCAATTTTTTTTCGTCTAATTGCTGAGGCATGTTTAGTTCTCTGTGTGTGTGTGTATGTGTACGTGAGGTGCATGTTAACCCTTTAGTGCATGTCGGCTAAAAGCGCAGCCCTACAAACCCAAATATCTTAAATAAGAATTATATAGAATTAATAGCTTTCAGGCGTATTTTGATTTATAATCGATTTTACCGAACAGTTCTTAACAAGGGACTCACACAATTTCGGCAGTGTGACCAGTAACGGCCCTTTTGGTTGCTGTTTTAGATTTAAAAATTCAGAAATCTTCCTGCAGCTCAATTATCAATTATCATCAATTTTATCGAAGAGATCTTCTTAGTTGATCCACATACATAGATTCGGTTAAGGGAAATTGTGATAACGCAACAACTGTTTTTCTAGTTACAGTTTCTGATTTGAATTCGTTGAAGCAAAAAACACAGGTGACGATCCCTCTTATATATTTTGTATTGGAATATAAAGCGAAACTTCAAAACTTCAACACTGTTTCAATTGTATTACTGTGATCGTAATTTTCTTAGAAGAAATAAATTGAACCAACTCAGTGGTTCCTTTATAATTAATAGTACTTAATAATCTATCAATTTAGCAATAGGATTTTTTCCACCCACAACGAATGCAGATTCCGCTTTCGATTTCAATAAAATTATTTTGAAAATTCTGCAGCAATTTTGTAATACTTTAAATGTCGTTTTTACAACATCCGAAGTTTTTGATGGCTTCTTAAAAATAAAAAATAGGCCTATAAGTATTTGCAAAATCGATTATTCAAATAATAAAATTACATAATTGTCCTACCTAAGACAGATCTTAAACAACGATTAAGGAGAAAAAATGCACATCTCCAGATGTGTGGATATTCGTTTCAGCTTTTCAAATTTTTGCTGTTAATCAACACTGAACCAATTTCGCTTGATTGCAGTAAAGCAATGCATATCAAAATTCGTTCAAATTATGGGAAATCGAATATAGATTAAATTGTTCCGTTGGAAAAGTAGATAGTGGACTTATACTTCAGACACAATTTTGGAAAGCAGCTTGAAACGGTTTTTTGGAATTAATTCATTTCACTTCCGGAAATTCGAAATTATACCAATTGATGTATAGGCCTGTATTTTTCAAACAGTTTCAAATCTTAGACAGTTTTAAATTATTTTAAATCAATATTGATTTTTTAAAGTTTCGAATCTTAGGCAGTTTTCCATTTTATTTTCAGTATTCCTCTCAGCTTCAATTGTTTTGAACTCTATATTGCAACGTAGTATTTCTGGGGTTAACGGCGTGCGCGCAGACTGGCTGACTAAGTGAAAGACTGTTTTCTGGTTTGACGAATTGGCTGACTGACCGACTGACTGACGGACGGACGGACTCAGTCACTGCTCCAACGACTGTTTGACTGCACATTGTTGACTTCACGCAATTGAAACGGTTGGGTGGCAAGTGCATTGATTTCGTTTTGTTGTTCGCGTTGTAATAATTGTTGTTGTCGTCATCGCTTACTTGATTTTAATGTTGTTTCGCCACACACTTGCCTCCCAAATCGGATATCAACAAAAGAATAAAAATAGTTTGGCTGCATTTATGAGTTTTGAAAATTGCAGATTGTGTCTGGTTAGGGTTTTTTGCGCTTCTCGTTTCGGTTCTGGAATTATTTGCCACATTAGTTTGTTATCTTTTCTAATTTAGCGGAAATGATGGCAACAAATAAACTGATTATAACTGCAGCCATAAACTCGATTTACCGACAAAATTGGGAAATCAGGAAATCAAATTATTTGCAATTCGGCGAAAACTTTAGTGGTGAGGTAACTTAAAAATAAAACAATTCAAAGTTGGCAACCGGTGGGAAAAATCTTGGATTAGGCAGCATTATTATACAGGGTTCGATTAGAGAAAAAAGAAACTGAAGCTCGGATAAGCTGGAAGAACACTTGTAGACTTAAACAATCAAATCATCTTTACAAGCTGAAAATATTGACAAACTATCTCTCTCCGAATGGGGTGACTGGGACTGATAGAGAAGGAACTGAAGATTGAAAAAGTTGAAAGAACACTTCTGGCCTGAAACAATCAAACGAATCAACCTCAATTCAACCTTTAAAAGAAACATGTTTATATATTTTTACCGTACTGTTCTCCAGAGTAGTAGTACTTATTGGTAATCTTTTCAATCGAGCGAGAAAACTTCCTGTCTTCCAATGAACTTCTTTGTTGCTGTGTTTAAGCATTCCAACCTATGGGTTCATGACAAAATTGGTTATTTAGGGTGTGTCCAGTTCTTCAAGAATAATTATCTACGAGCTACAAACCATGTTCCCTTTTTCATGATTCCAACTGTTTTCTAAAAAAGAAAACCCCCAACACCTTTGAAGATTATTTATATTCAACATATTCTTTCGGTTATCTGATGCGAAATAGCATCAAAAAACATCAGAAAATTTGGGAAGATCTTCTACCCCATTGACCCTGCTGTTGTTATATGTTGAAAAGATTTTGAATTTGAATTTTATTGCTTACCTTTTTCGTCAAGTGTTCTGTTTTCTTGTTGGAAAACTCCGGAACCTTTAAAAAGGTGCTAACTGGGGCTATACGCGTATGTTACAAATATTTTATTTTAAAGACAACTTATAAATAAGGTTAAAAAAAAAAACAATGTTTGAATAAAAAAGTGGCGAGCGTTGAAGCGAAGCTGAGAGAACTCAGCGATTCACCACAATGGTTTCGATGTTCTCGCCACCGCTTCCGGTGGCATGCGATCCATTGGCAGCGGTGGTGCTACCGCTCCCATTGGCTTGCGAAGGTGGTGAGGGCGGGGGCGGTTCAATGGGCGGCAGGCCCACCAATTTCTCACTCTCGCGCCAGAGCCAATCGGCGGTCTCTTTGTTGCGAGCCCACGGCACCAATGGGAAGCGCATGGAATCGCTATAATAGCCACCTGTGGAGCGTTCCAGAGCAGGATCGAGGGCGAGACGCAGGGAGGTCTGAGCACCTGCACGCGGTGTCTTAAAGAAGTAAAGTGAGAAGAATTTTAGGAAACTCTTCATCCAATTGGGCCCGGAGAAGTGACGATTCAGCTCCGTGCGCACCACACCCGGATGGCAACAGTTGACTGTGACGCCCGTGTCCTTCAGCAGTTCGGCCAGCTTGCGTGTGAACAGGATGTTCGCCAGCTTCGATTGGCTGTAGGCGCCGACAAATTTGCTGTATTTGCGCTCGCTCATCAAATCCTCGCGATTGATCCGTCCCAGCAAGTGAGCCGCCGAACTAACAACCACAATGCGACTGGGCGCCGCCTGCTTGAGTCGGTCCAGCAGCAGATTGGTGAGCAGAAAATGACCCAAGTGGTTGACACCGAACTGCTGTTCGTAGCCATCGGCGGTAAGGGAACGCGGACAGGCCATTATCCCGGCATTGTTCACCAGCAGATCGAGTCGCGCCTCCTCTGTCTTGAAGCGGGCCACAAAATTACGCACCGAGTCCAGGGAGCCCAGATCAAGACTGCGATTGAACAGCTGCTGGTTCTGGGTGCGATCGATGATCTCGATGCGAGCGGCCTCACAACGCGCCGGATCGCGACAGGCCATGTAGATCTTGGCCCCTCGTCGAGCCAACTCCAGCACCGTCTCCTTGCCAATGCCCGTATTACAGCCTGTTACGATCACCACCTTGCCATCAATACGGTTCGTCTTCCGGTAGACCGGACCTTGAATGCACTTCCGTAGCAACCACATGACCGCAAAGACGCAGCAGCCGATGAGAAAGATCAGCACACACCAGGCCCAGAAGCCTCTGAAGCAGAGCGCCTTCTCCGCCCGCTCCGCCGTCGGATCTCTCAGTATGTCGCTCAAGCTGCTGTTATTTGTGGGCGTGGCAGCCGCCGCAGACATCGCTCTGTCGGTGTCGGCAGCTGTAAGAGTGTAGAGAGTGTCAGAAAAGAAAGTTAGTCGGGGCTGATCGCTCAATCGCAAACATAGTCATAAACACAAACTGGACAGCAGCCGTCAATCAGTTGAAGTGAAATGCCGCCAAGCACACGCGACTGCGACTCGGACTTGGAGCTCTTATAAGTAAATCTCTTTGTGGTCATTACTAAGGAGGGCATTGCCATGGAGCTATGCCACAAAATTACAAGCTTGCATTTTTTTTAATGGTCCGCGTTGTAAACGCTTTTTGCCATTCATTTATTATCTTATTTAAGTGTGGACACAAATCGTTTTACTGCAGAGCTTGTGGGTACACAGTTTTTAATAGCCCCCATATTATATATATACTTGTATTTTCATTTTCACAACAAAACTTTTCACGAATCTGAGTTATACTTGGAATTTCTCAACAGAACTGTTCGCAAATAAGATAACTTTAGACTTATCAACCGAACTGTCCATAAATCAGAGTTATATTTTAAATATCTCATTAGAACTGACAACAAAAAAGAGTCTACATTAATAATTTCACAACAAAACTGTTCGCAAATCGGAGTTATACTTGGAATTACTCAACCGAACTGCTCGCAAATCGGAGTTATCAATATATTTTTTATTTCTCAGCATAACTGCCCACAAATTAGTTTCTGTATTTTGAATATCTCCATAAATCAAAATTATTAGAGTTAGACTTTCAACTTCTCAACAGAACTGTCCACAAATAGGAGTCAATATTTTGAGTTTCTGAATAATAGGTTCATAGGCCTGAGATTAAAATAAAGCTTGATTCAGATCTATACATGAGCATACATTGTATTGAAATTTTAGTCAGAGTCGATAGTCTTTCTTTAATCTAAATAGATCCAAGAACCAGTCTATATTTTAAATATTTTATTTATATTCTCCTAAGAATGAAATTTAGATCAAATCAGAACTGAAATCATGAACACAATTGTATGATTTTGAAATAAACACTTTAGGCAATATTTGGTTTGAAAAACAGTCTACAAGAGCTGTTGATTTAGGTTTATCCTTTCCCCAAACTAATGCCGTGTCTAAAGGCTCTAATCTACTTATCTAGAGCTGGCGATTTATGTATTATCATTTTTTCAAGGTAATCTACATATAAATATTTACTGTGGCATAATCATAATCTGATTGGGATTTTCTAATATTAGCACTTTAAGACTTTAATATGAAAATAGTAGAATTATCACGAGATGATATTTTGTAGTATTGCAAGGATTATCTGTAAAGAAGAATCAGCTATCCGGATTATATTGTCAGCATTTAATTAACTTAAAACACAAGATAGATTGCTTTCCAACTAATCTTTTAAAACCAGTTTCATTGGACTATCGCCCAGTACAAATATGAGCAAGTTTTGTTACGATACTCGATATCGTAAGTATTATACAAATCATAAATATATGATTTGTAATAAACTTGAACTGCATATAGAAAAGACAAGTATACATGTTGGTGTTCCTAGCTGTTACAGACGAACCTGATTGTCTCGATTCATTCCACTGCTAAGTTTTAGCTTTTATTCAAATTTCCAAAGAGCTTTTGAAATGAATTTGAAAAAAAAAACGACTGGTGACTTGAGAGGCCTGTCGACTAACAAATCATTACAAATAATTGAGCTGATAATTTGAATTTCATTAGCATATATGTACGTACATATACTATGAAGACTACTCGTATGTGTTTGTATTAAAAGCTCAGAGATAATAAATCGTCAGAGCTGAAAAGATTTGTTCGTAAATATAAAGCCATGATTATCTGAATGCTTTACTTATAAAATGGGCTACAAAATTGTTTCTCATATATATACTTACACATTTCGAAAGATATTAAAAAGATTACGTTAATCTCAAGTATCTTTCCATACAAAAAGCGAATTTAAGTGGAATGTAGAAATTGTACAACTGTTTTCAATATTTTTTCACTTCTAGCACTAGATGTTCAAAACAAATTTAGACAAGAAATGTTCTCGTGTAGCTGCTGCTCCGGGGTTTTGTTGTTACTTTCTTTATTTATTTTAATTACAAGCTGTACAAGTATTTCAAAATGTAATCCACATAAATGTTCAATTCGAAAGCACACTAAAACACGTTCATCCGCACCGCTTACTAATTCAGTTCTATTTCATTGCAATTTTATCGAGTGACTCGAGACGAGAGTAATGCCGATTATTAATCGATCTTCCAGTTGATGCACCCCCCCCATCCGTCAGAGACAAGAGCAACGCAGAATGACGGTTGAAGGTTCAAATAGATTATAAAATCTTTCTAATGTTGTCATGTTAATTGTAAGCTCTCTTATTTGTTTAATCTGGGACGCATATTCAAGTAGTTGGAATTAGAAACCATACTGTACTGATGTACTAATTCAAGAAGCTTGAGTGAGCCTATAATCTGAAGCTCGTGTTAGCTTAGAGAGTTTTTACGGCAGCCCAAAATATATCAACAACCAATCAGGTCCCCAAGATATCAATACAATTGTGGGATTTGAAATCTTTTAATACCCCATTTGTAGTCGTAGATTGTCTGATTAGTTGGATCTAGGGGACCAGAACTCGAGGCAAAATAATAAGTTTAATTACGTATATTATCATATATTAGCCCTATTATGAAAGTGAATATATATTTCTTTCAAATTTTGTTGCTCTTTTGCACCTTACATATATTTGTCTGTCTGTATGATCAGCTCGATCTAGGAGATTGTAGGAGCTGGAGTCCCCAATCTTTTTTGTTGTTTTTTAAGCACTTGGATACATCTTTGTACCTAATGCTTAACATGTTATTCAAAGAGGGTAGCATAGATTTTTGTCTGTCTGTATGATCAGCTCGATGGGGGAGGTTATACATGCTGGAGGCACCACATTTTTTCTGAGCAGTAGTCTAAATGGGGTATTCTTCGAGCACAACTTCGCTGAGCCTTAGGCCTAACATTTATTGAATGATAAAATGAATGGAGGAATTCTCCAATAGCTAATCCTCATCGATTCGCAGTCGCAAGTGTTGCATAGTTAGTTTAAATGTTGGTTTATACTTATGTAGGTTTGTGCTTGTGATGTGTATCTGAAGATGATGATGATGAAGACCTACTTGCCAAAAACTGTGCGCTTTTTTGTGTTGTTGTTGTTTTTGTTATCCACACTTCCAAACACGCCTATTTCACACTTCGTTTCAATAAATAATAACAACAAAAACGAGGAATGGTAGAAAATCAACAAATCGCGGCTTTCGTTTGTCTGAGCACTTCACACGCTTGCCGGCCACGTTCAGCTTCTTAGCCCGCTTCTCCATCAACTGTGTACACTCCACTCAGTGGTGCGTCCAAGCGGCTCGCACGATCTATGACAACTGACTTGGTTGTGGTGATGATGGCTCAAAACTCTGCCAAAGCTGCAACGCTCGCCAACATGTCAAAAAAGCCTGAAAATTTGAGAGCGTTATAATTGACGTCGCTGCCAACGTCGGCATCGGTATCGGCGTTGGCGTTGGCGCTGGCGTCGACGCTGACGCTGACGCTGCACAGACCTGCAACACCTGCTCGGCCAGGCCAGGCCCGGCCCGGCATGGTCCGGGGGCTTGCTTTGGCGAGCTTGCCCCACATACCACAGAAATGACGACGTCATGGCCGTTGCTGGCGTCTCTGCCGCAGCCACTGACCATATACGAGTGGAAGCAGCATTGCGGTTGTTGTTGTTGTTGTTGCTGCTCCGCGCCTTATTTTCTTGTCTTCTTTGTTGCTGTTGCTGTTGCTGTTGGTGTTGTTTTTGTATTTGTATTTGTTTTCAACTTTCACTTTGAAGCACTGTTTTTGTTTTGCTGCCAGCGCCGACGTTCGCGTCGCATAATTAAACATTTCAATACCCTTTAAAAATATCGAGTATTTTCATTATTACATGCAACAAATTTATCATTGTAGATAGATTTTTAATTGTGAATTATATTGAGTCAACAATACTACACTATAACAGTTAATAGAAATCCCTTAAAAAGTGTTTTTTAAAACTATGTACATATACTTGTATAGTATATGCTATGAATATTGAATATTGAAAGATACAAACTTGACTTAACCTATATTGATGTCAGAGAAATGTTTACAAAATGTTCGGTAATCTTAAAACATAGAGTCGACGAATAAATGTATGTATGTTTATAACCAATATGTAAGATCTTCATGTAGTCTTCAGTCAAGTTTTTTAAAACATACAGATTGCGAGAACGGGAGGTTCATACAGACAGACGAATATATAAGTAGTATACATCAAATATAATTGACAAACATGCTATAACTTCATATACATTGATGCCAGAGAAATGTTTTATATGAGACAGAAGTAGCGAAAAGCTAACGGTTTTGGATGGTGATTTGAAAAGGAACTTTATACTCTAAAAACTATATACGAGCAATGTATGTATATATTGCATTAAAAAGGGACAATCATTAATATTTAAGCTGCTTTTTGCAACTTTCGCTTTTAAGGTTTTTCTTAATACTTTTCTATCAAGTTCATATTAGCTTGAATTAGTGGATTAAACCAACTTTTATTTATGAAATTCATAGTTTAAGTTACAGTTTTACTTTCATCGTTCATATTTTATGAATACAGGGACTAAATTACTTGTTAGATTTTGGTTTAACCTAAAGTTTAATAGGGTTGCTTTTTTTGGGGCGCATATTAGGTTTGAAGTTTGAGAGTGTTGAATCCATTGGGTGAAGGGTACAAAAGTTTCGACTGAAACTAAATGAAGTTTGTCTGCCATTAGTTTTGCTGCCCAGAAGATATTCCAGTTTGTTTGTTTGGATTGTTGGCATTCATTTTTAGCCCTTTTCTCTTTAAACCCTATTTTGTTTGTGATCTTGAACTCAAGTCATCGTGGCGAATGAAAATGTTAAACTCAAATGGGGGGTCGTGCCAGGAAACCCCAATTATGAGCATGTAATGCGTTATTTGTTTTTATTGTAATAAAAATAATGTATAGACCTTTGACAACGAAACGTATTCATAATATCTTTTTATATGCTCCACCATCAACCCCACTTTCCAAATGTCAAATCTGTTCGTGAATGTGATAATCAACAATTTGGATTTTAAAAAGAAAACTGGTTGAACGGCCTATAAATGTTTTAACAACAGCTGCCAAACAGCGCACAAAACGCGCTCCCATTTCTCGCTTTTATATTTTTTACGCACATAAGTACGTATGCGTGTATTTACGGGTGTATGAACTTATCGAAGGACAGACCAAAGCATTATTGCATATGCATTTGCCCTTGGGTCGGGGGCGTTTAATGGGCCATAAATGGAGAAGGTATGATAGGTGGAATGAAATGCGCGTCATAAGCCACACAGGTACAGGTACCTGCTGATGCACAGTGGCTCTAAATTGAAAATCTATTCGTTACTGCAGGCTACGCTTTTCAAATTAGTTTCTTGTTATGAAAATACTCATTTATTTTATCAAATAAATACAAACTAAGTAAATGTTAATGTTTTCTTCTCCTCAAATAAGATAAACAGGGCTTGAAAGGCAGAAGAAGGTGTAGACAGGTCCGCCTATCCGTCCGTCCGTTCGACTGTATGAACGATGATAAATGTTGAACCATAACATCTAAGGCCACTAAAATTAATATATAAACTTGTCTTATAGTACATGCGCAGAGCAAGCCTATTATCAAGCATATATAATCTCATTATTTTATAAGGCTGTCATAAAACCGATCGGTGCAAAAATCAGTCCAAGTGGAACAACTTTTATGTTCGTAAAGTTATCTTAAGATGATTCGATATGTATGAGTTTGGTATAAAAGCTGAATCTGAATCTGTTTTATTATTTCGCTACACTTAAAATTATATAGCACTGTTATCAGTCATCTCATGCTGTGTGGAACTTTGCAGCACTATTCCACAGTTCAGTTGCTGCTGGAATACTCTGACGTCTCTCTTGCACTGAGTAACGACTTACATAAGGTTTCTATTGCGTGATTGTTTCAAACATGAGATTAGTTTACAGAATGGTGTCATAAGGCGATTACATGGAAGGAGCTTACGAACCTAGTACAAAAGAGGACATTATTTAAACTAACCATTCAAATGTAATAAATATATTACTAGAAATATTTTCAGCTATCTGACTTTCGCATAGCGAGGCCTTTTCACATAATTATTATTTATTTCTTTTGGTATTTCTAGGCCTTGAAGTGGATTTAAATTTTATGGCACTAATTATCTATCTATACATATAAAAATAGTTTACATTTAAATTGGACAATGCCCGCATTACGGTAAGTAGCTGAACATTTTAAAGTAATTATTTATTCTAATAGTTCTGATTATTTTTTATGGTGGTTTTATGATGGTCTTATTATGTTTTTAAATAGATTCAATAAAAAACTTTCTAAAGCGTAATGTCGTCTTCCGAAGGAGGTTTGGAATTTAACCATTAAATGATAAATATTGTCACCTTGATCATCAAGCATCCTTAATTGGGGTTTAATCTATATTTGGGGCTGTTGGGCATCAGTTTAAGGAGCAGTTTAGTAATCCGTCTTGCGCGATTTCACGTTCACGAATTTACAATTTCTATTCCGCACAATTCCATCGATGTCGAAAACACAAACAGACTGGATGATTTGGAAACATAAATAGTGTTCTACTTCAAAATTGTAAATAAATATTTAAAGCAACTCGTGCGTGCTTTCACGTTCATTTACAAATCGCTTTAAATAGTTTGCTAGTCATTCTGAAGGAGAACATTATATCTTTTTTTTCTCAATTTGTGAATTGAGTGTAAAATTTGTTTCGCGAGTTCACAATTTGGTTTTCAAGCCATTCTTAGACAATTGTAGATGATAGTGAAAAGATCTAAAGATCTCTTTTGGAGTATATTCGAGTATATTTTGTACTGAACTGCAAAGGAGTCCACAAAATATTTCGTACCAAACATTTTGCTAAGTTTGTTTCGCCACGGAGTTTTTGCAGGAAAAAGTCAGAAGGGGCGAAAAATATGGTTACAGTTTGTTCTCAAACGCGTTGCAAGAACTGCCCAACTTCACTGTCGCCAGAAAACTCTCGTATGTATG